GAGTAAGTCTCGCAACGCAGGATGAGCGTCACGCGGGATTCCAGGAGTACACGGTGCTCCTGTCCAACATGGCGACTCAGATCCCGAGTACGTTCGTTTCAGAGTGCCGTTGTTGTCCCCCTTGGTCTGTCGACCGCCGCGACTGCGCTGTTCCAGGAGGGATTTTTGGATTTGTCTCCACCTTTTCTCTCGCCTAGAGGGAATGGAACGACGGTGCTGGTTTAGGGCCGTGCGGCAAGTGTGGGGAGTAATGCGATTCAGTTGGCTGTTGCGGCTGGGTGTGAGATTGTTGCGACTGCGTCGGAGAAGAATTTTGGGTACCTGAAGAGGCTGGGCGCTACAGTTGTGGTGGATTATCGGAGTCCGAATGCTGTGAAGGACTTGATTCTGCGTTTGAGGGGAGGGTGTTGGCTGGAGCTGTTGATTGTGTTGAGTCTCGGGAGTCGATTCGGGGAAGTATTGCGGTGGGGGAGAAGGTTGCAGGGAAGAAGATTGTTGTGTCGGTGCTGGAGGTGCCGGAAGACATGCTGGATGGCATTAGGGGTGAACGTCACAGGTCTTGATATTCGAGGGAATGAGGTGAGGTGAGTAGAATGATCTATGGAGATTTCTTGCCCCGGGCGTTGGCAGCAGGGAGGTATATTCCAGCACCTGATCCATTCGTGGCTGGGATTTGGCTGGGTGCTATCCAAGGGGCAGTCAAGATGCAGAAAAACGTTTCTGTGCAAAATATAGTTGTTACTCTTTAAGACTGTTTATGGTGTCTAAATAAATAAACGCAAAGCGCACTTGACTGCCCGGCCCTTGTAGGCTCTCATGTATGTACCAGCTATATGCATAATCATACCCAAAACTTCATAACAATTCATAAGCGAATAAACACACACCAGAATACCCAAATCTTCAGAAGCCGCTGTGATCCGAATTATAACCTAACCTGCCACCGCAGGCTCGTCCTGATATGCTCCCCATACTTGAGCAATACGAACGGAATGGGGAGCATCGCCACGGCCAAGAAGCCCAACAGTGAGTTTCCCCATCCTAGCCCTAGCTTGTTATACATTGGTAGGCCCGCGAGGGGAAGCAATGCGCCAACAATAGATCGCCAGACTGCGCCTGCTCCGAGGGCAGAGGCTGCGTGGATGGTGAAGGCGTCGACGAGATACGCTTGGATTGGCATCTGTATAGATTCTATTAGCTTCTTTTCCTTCTTCGTCTGACGTGGAGGAAGGGGAAGGGAACTCACAAAATACGCAATAAACCCAAACCCAACAAACGCCGTACCCAGGATAGGCACGAACCAAAAAACATGCTTATCCGCCGTCCAACCATAGATAAACAGTCCGACTGGGATGGCAATCCCACCCACAATCATCGGCGGGAGACGATACTCCGGCTTCATGACACCATCATGCTTGGCTGCCTTGCTCTTGATAATGCGGTCTGACAGCGCCCCGAACCCGAACAGTCCAATCATCATCCCCACCCCAAGACCGAGGTATGTCAGGCCGACGATATTGGAGCTGAAGTTGTACGTGTCTTCAAAAACGGGGGTGAAGGTCGTGAAGAGGAGGTAGAGGTAGCCGTAGACGATTGCGGCGAGGGTTGCCATTAAAGCCACGATGGGGGAGAGCAGAAGGAGTTTCAGTGGGCGGACGATGGCTCGCTGGAAGGACAGGCGTGCGGAGAGGTCCGCGTCGAGGCGAGACCGTAGGGCTGGGTTGCCGGTTTCTTTGCGACGCCGTTTCGTGATGTTTCGGAGGATCACCACGGAGGAGGTCTCGCGCAGGAGGAGGAGGAAGATACAAGCCATTGCGCCGGACTGTTTTTGTCTTTCTGTGAGTGTGTTTCTTTAGAATTGTATGTATGGTTTGAAAGGGGAGCATACAACTATAGTCAGGAGCCAGAAAACCCATCTCCAGCCCTTGGCTGCTGACAGGAACGAGCCCATTACAGGTCCGAGCACGGGTCCAAGCAACGGCCCCATTGTCCATGCTGCAAGGACCTTCCCGCGCTCCTGTGGGATGAATAGGTCTGCCACCGTTCCTCCACCGATGGTGAGAACCGCAGATCCGGCAATGCCCTCGAGGAACCGAAAGCCGATAAGCATGCCGAGATTAGTGCTGACGGCGCATGCGATCGTGAATATTACGAACAGAACATTGGTGAAATGGTACATGATCGAACGGCCGTAGAGTTCTGCAGAAATTAGCGAGATTAGGTATACCTGTATGCTCCAGAGACGTACCCGACAGAGGCGCAATCACTAGAGGCCCTGCGGCGTATCCAAGAAGATAGATAGATACCACAAAGGACATGAGGGTGGCACTTGTTGATCCAAACTCAGCTAGGCATTCAGGAACACCTGGCGCGAACATGGAGGATGCGAGCGGCCTGGTCAAATCAACATCAATCCATACGTTCATGGAATCAAGACGCACGTTATGAATGACATGATAGACAACAATGTTACGATCGTCCATTTGCGGGCAGGCGCCCAGTTGACAGGTCGTCTCGGATCATGTGGCCCGTCGAAATCGACAAGGTCGAGGTCTTCGGCCTCGGCGAGGTCTGTCAAGGGCCTTGATGAGGTGACCATGATCGACGATGGATGGAACAAGGAGGTGTTAGTTCAAGAGCTAGTCACATCGGGAAAGATTAAGTATCCAGCTGGGCCTGATCTACCTTAAAATATGGAGGTATTGTAGAACAAACAGTATTGTCGATCCTTGATTTGATTCGAGGATATTAACTACGGTAGTACAGGATAAATTGGCAGAGCTGCAGGGTGATAATTTTAGTAGTGCATGCATATGACTCGACAATCAAGGCACTTTATGTACTCCCATCAGGCCAGATGACGCAGGTAAGCCTGGTTTTCTATTTTCTCCCTCCATACGGACTGAACTGAAACAGTGAAACCTACCTTAGGTATATGGTATGTATGTATGTATGTACGTGGTCTGACGGGCGAGGCAACTCAACTCGACGTGTTGGATAAATTTCCAATACGACCGACGAAAGCATAGCAAGGCTGAAAATAATAATGATAAGTCTTCGATATAATCCCATCGGCCGCATTAGCCGTAAAACCTGCGCGACGAGTGAAATACTCATTGCAAATTGCGTGTGATATCCAGAATATGGACAGCCTTGCCTTCACCGTGATGCCTTCATTTGGTGTCCTGTCAATCTGGGGGACTCTCGCAGTTTCAGTTGTTCTGGTAAGTTAAACTGGACCATCCAAATAAACAGATACTAATAAACACAGTGTCTCGTCGCCAAATCAATATACAATGTCTACTTCCACCCTCTGTCCCGTTTCCCCGGACCAAGGCTCTGGTCTCTCACCCGGCTATGCTGGACGGTCTCTCTTGCTCGTGGAGATCTCCATCTGAAAATCAAGTCCTTTCACGATCGTTACGGAAGTATTGTCCGGGTCGCTCCCGACGAGCTTTCGTTCATTGACGGATCAGCCTGGCAGGACATCTACGCCGGCAGCCAACGCAACAAAGGCCTGCCCAAAAACGACGTTATCTTCGGCGCGCAGCAGTTCCGCAGCATTTTGGACGGTACCGACGAGGAGCATACGCGGATGCGAAAGGTGCTGGCGTCCTCGTTCTCCAACAAAAACACAGATAAACAAGAGGGCCTGCTTCAGCGATATCTCGATATACTTATCCGCAACCTCCATCAAGTCGCGCGGAATAGCAAAGCCATCAACGTTGTTGAGTGGTACACTTGGTTTGCCTTCGATACCACTGGCGAGCTGGCATTCAGCGAATCGTTCAACCAGCTCGAACAAACTATCTCCCATCCTTGGGTGCAGATGATTACAAGCCATCTCAAATACTCTGCATTGAGCGTCTGTCTTCGCTTCTATTCGCCGCTCGATCGGCTCATGCCTCTGATTGCGCCTCCATCGCTGCATCGTCTGAAATGGTCTTTCATCAGTATGGCTCGCGAGAAGGTCTTTCGCCGTATGAATAGGCCCGACTCTAAAGGGCTAGACGACATCTTTGGTGCCTGCAACACACCAAGCGACGAAAAACCGATCCAGATGACCACTGAAGAGCTAGTCGGAACGTTCACCTTCCTTATCGTCTCCGGCAGCGAAACTACAGCCACCGTGCTAACTGGGATCACCAACTACCTCTGCCACAACCCCCGAGTGCTCAAGCTGCTAACAGACGAACTCCGATCTGTTCCAGAGGAAGGGGGTCTGACCCTGGCCTCTACAGCCACAATGCCCTACCTCAACGGCGTGATCAAGGAAGGCATGCGACTATGCCACCCCGTCCCAGGCGCACTTTCACGAGTCGTCCCTCCAGAGGGCAAGGTAATCGGGGGCCACTTTGTCCCTGGCAATGTAAGTCCTGTCTCCACTACCACCCAACAACCAGCTTCAAACAAACTAACCACGTCCAAATTCTCACAATAGACTCTTGTCGGCATCTCCCCCTTTGCGGCATACATTTCCGACTCCAACTTCGCCTCACCCTACGAGTTCACGCCGGAGCGCTGGCTGGGCGATCAGGAGGATAATAATAGAAACATTTTCCAACCATTCTCAGTCGGCGGACGCAACTGCATCGGGCAGAACCTAGCCTGGGCGGAGATGCGACTGATCCTCGCGCGGGTGCTGTACAATTTCGACATCGAGCAGGCCGGGGGCCGGGATTGGATGGAGAAGAAGTCGTATCTTTTGTGGGAGAAGGACCCGCTCCTGATTAGGGTAAAGGCTGCGAGGGAGGGGGGCTTTTATTTGTTGGGGTGAGTTGATGTTGGGTAGATGCAATTGTTGTATGTTGTATGGATAACCAGAGATTGACTGCCTAGATATCTCCCTTGCTTTGTTACAGCTATTCGAATAGGAAGGGGAAAAGACAGTGATCTGCACCATGCCGGATATTAAACTCTGTGAAATAATGAATGGGTTTTGGGTGATATAGTAAGCACTAAATGGTAAGACGTGCGAGTCTGGCAGTATTGACTATCAATGTAGATTCTAGACAACGTCAGACTGAGGATCATACTATACCTACTCTTCAACCCAAATGAAGCAAACCATATCAGACTCTAACCTAGCCAGAGACCAAACAATCAATTTTTGCCACACACAGTAAATATACATCCATAGGTACACCATCGCCAAAGACAGACACAAGGACAGGGTAAACACACCACAACCACCGTCACCACAACCACCGTCACCACAGCCACAACCCCCCCCAACTAACTAGATAACTACACCTTACTCCTAACCTCCCTAACAGCAAGACTCTCCCCACTTCTGCTCAATCGTCGTCTTGCGCCAAATCGCATTCGGTGAACTAGACGGCAGCGGCACAGTATTAGTCTCCGGCACCGCATCCGCGACAGAGGTCTGCGGAATAAGCTCGATATTATCAGAACTGTGATCCTGATGTTTCTTGTCCACGCTGTGTGGAAATCGCGAGCGCGAGGAACCAGCGACGCTTCGGGATCCGCCTGAGCCCTGCGAGGCTGCTCGTGAGGAAAAGAGACGGTTGCGGATGGATCGGAAGCTGGTCAGCCACCAGGATTCCTTCGTGTTTGCTTTGAAGAGTGTGCCGAGGAGGGGGAGGCAGGTGCATATTATGCCGATGTCGACTTCCACGGTGCTGGTTTTGGAGGGCAGGGTTAGGATAGGTAGGGAGTTAAGGAGTGGGAGGGATACGTACTTGACGATGTAGATCGCCAGGAGGGAGTAAGTGCTGTCCATGAGGTTGAGTTGGAAGCGGTATACGCAGCCCAAAAAACTCATCACCACACTTCTATGCGACAATTAGCTTAGCCAATCCATCATGAGACGAGGATGGATCTCACAAAAGTCCCGTAAGGAATACAGCAGCAACGCGCCACTTCTTGGCCCTGCTCAGATGCAGCTGCGCAATAGCCAGCAACGGAAGTGTGATGATGTATACGTCGCTGACAACACCGATAACAGCCACGCTGTACGTCAACATCAAGAGCGCGTGCACGTCTTTTAAGAAGATGTTGAGGAAGAGCGCAGCGGTGTAGTAGACCGTGCAGAACACGATACCTCCCCAGATACCGATCTTCACGGGGCGATTCAGCAAGAAGAGGCGCAGGTATAGCAGGAGCAGGGTCAGCTTCGTGAAGTAGATCGCTGGCGCGGTGAGGATTGCTGAAGGTCTCGCATACTATGACCCGTCAGCTTGATGGACAGTAGCTCTTTGCGCCAGTCTGGTCGACTCACTTTATCGAATTCAGCGAACTCGGCCAGCGTGACGTCCCAAGCATGTCGTCCGAGACCGAGGGATCCCTCTGTAGATATCCATGTTAGGATTGATGTTGCGATTGGTGGTAGAGAGGTTGAATAACCTTTGATAATCACGCCTGTGTATGCGGATTGAGAGAGCTGAGTCGTATACTTGTGAACTTCAGACTGTGGAAAGATTTATTGTATTTTCATTCATACCAGCGCAAGCACAGCAGTCACTATAACATATCAGCAAATCATCCCACATTCCAGTAGAGAGAGCCTTACAGTCATCCCACCACGGCGTATGAGTAACTAAGAACCGGATATACAGCCTCACAAAAACAAGAAAAGTCATCAACGCAGTACAGATGCCTGCGATGATGTAGTATTCATTGGCATGGTTGACCGGATTGACGAAGTTCGACTTCTGCCCGGCAGGTGCAGGGACAAGAGGAGTTTTGGTTGGATCTACTCCTGGTGGTGACTCTGCCATTCTGGTCTGAAGTAGCAAGCAGACGAATCTACCAGAGCGAAGCTGAAAAGCAAATTTCTCCGGCTGCTGGAAGATCGACCGCGTAGAGCCGAGGACTTGACGCAAACAACGTGAACTTCCCCCTACCTGCAAGCTATTTAGGTGGAAGGCCTGAATTCATACCATGACACCTGGAACTGGGATAATCCTGACAATAGTCAGTCTGGTTTGGAACGTGCTGCAAGTGCTGACATGGTGACATTTGCGTCTACGCACTCTGGGTTACAATATGCGGGCAGGAGTAGTCAGCTTTAAGTAGACAGGATCTGGAGTCTTGTCCACCTTGGTATGAGAATATTGCTATGAATATGGCATATAGCACATCTAGGATTGTGCAACCTAAGGCTGTCGTACTACAAAGGTTGAAACGGGTGAGACTGGGATATACAAATGGTGGAGGGTGAGCATTGAATAATATATAGTCCAGCTGGGGCTGTGGGTGTCATAGCCTCGATGGAATATTGTATTTTAATTATGCTTCATTTGTTCATAGACAGATACCGTATAAGATTGAATTTGGAAGAACATTGCTGGTATATGAATGGTAAGAGCATTTTCTAGTCCCCCGCATTCTAAATACTCCTTCCCGTCAAAGGCCTTCTTCTGACTTCTTCCTATTATTTTCAATCTGACCATCTGTTACCTAATTGAAATGCAACCTCGACCCGCCACATCGCCAAAGCTCGCCCTAACAGAATGCAAACACCATCCACGCCTCCTTCAAACCGACCGATGCATAGGCCGCGTAACCCAACGCTTCGCATTCAAAATGCAAGTCGGTGCATGTCAGACGGACAAAACTGCATCTACAACTGGCTGGGAACGGGATGCTCTGGGATCATCCAGAGCGTTTACGGCAAGGGCGCTGGAACATGCCGTGCTCGTTTTTGTCTCGAACGGGTTTCCTGTTGATTGAATATTCCCTCGGTCTTTCGGATGAGCATCTAATCTGCCTTGAAGATGTTTATCTCAAACGTCGTGTCAAATCACTATGCGACATTGTGTTAGCTCCTACCCATGAACACAGTCAGCAGAACTATCAGGGACCCAGACAAGGTGCAAATGCAGATGTATGGTCTAATTTCTTACATCAGTAGACAATGCCAAATAGATATATATTATTGATTTACATGTGACGTAGTTTCTTGCCCCGGAAAACCTCCTGCAGGAGCTTGTATTAGTAGTGTATCTGTTGATAAAATTTACCGCTTACCCTATTCGGAATTCGCCTTACCTGCCTATTAGATAGATATCTTTTCTCACTACCGCGTTATCCGCAGGAATAAGCTGGATACCCCTCATCTAGCCCCTGAGATACGATTCTGGTAGTATAAATATTCGTTCGTTAGATACTAGATTAAAAAGAATCAGACCTTCATTAGTTTATTATTTGTATACAAAATACTAGTGATTTCTGAACTAGCAACGGTATCCCGGTTTCCAACAGTATCTCACTCAGCCTCGGGATCGTACAGTTTCGGGTTTATTATCAGACGTCATATTTTGTAGAATCTGGCTAGTTATTTACGGAGCTCTATTATTGCGGAGGTCAGCTTACTAAAGATATGTGTATGTACAACATATGCTCCTGTCAAGTAGGTAGTTATGGCATGATGCTTAACTTATTCCTGTAGTCGATGGAGCAAACACCAGTACGCAATTCAGCATCCAGCAACCTGGCCAACAAGAAAGTACCATGATCTTGACCTCACTCCAGTAATTTGTACAAGAATGCAATTTTCATTCTGACAGTAATCCACTAATCTACTGAACTCTATCTGATATCCGCCCCAGCCCAGCTAGCTACATGCATACACACCCATGTAGCCAAGTATGCTGTACCATCTTAGTCCAAACACGTCAAACTAGCCCCCAAACAATCACAACACATTCGAAATTTCCTTGTCTGCATTGACCCGCTTGTACCCAATTGCACAATCATTCTCAGCAATCCCATTCCCCTCCCGACGCACACGCTTCTCCCCCATTCGCGGCGTATGGTCCTTGAGCACGTACATCTGCCCGTAGATATCGACTGCGGCGGTAAATACTGTAAGCGCTTTGAACACAGCCGGTGTAATAAGGTCAGGAAGGTTGGTATGGAGGAGTCGATTGATAGTTTTCCGTTCATGCTCCGCCAGAGCTAGGAGTTCTTTTTTAGCGGTAGCTAAAGCCGCAGATGATGGCTGGCCGTTCACTCTATCCAGATGCCCGTTATCGATTTGTCCAGCTGGGATGAGGAAGTCGATGCTGTTGAGATTGCCTTCCAATCTATCTCGCTCCAGGGATCCGTAGTCGTTTTCTAATCGGGAGAGCGCTGCTAGGCATTGGGAGAGTTCTTCGCCGATGTATTTGGCTCGAGGGGATGGGAGGGAATCTGTTCCTGAGGCTGTCAAGCAGAGGAAGAAGGAGAAGGCGACTTGCCCGCCTGTGCTGTGGCCGGATGTTGTTTGGATCCATTGGAAGAGAGAAGTATGGCGCGGCTCAGTGATAGATTCTCGTCCTGATGTGCGGCGGTTGTGGAGATGGTGGTTGTCATCGACTTGATCGAGGTGGGCGAGGAGGTAGCGGCGTAGATTGACGAGGAGGGCGTTTCTGTCGATTTCTGATGCACTCTGGACCTTGGGGTGCTCCCAGATGTAAGTGATAAAACGTTGTAATGTTTCGTCCAGGGATAGAGGACTTGGTAAATGGCCGTAACGCTGTATATAGTTGAAATCCCTGTTTACGGCACACCTCACGTCTCGCCGTTCGTTCTCCCCTCGCACACCGATGACACCCTCCATATGGTGATCGAGGGTATAGAGAAACGCAGATAAAGCCATTATATCTAGCTGCGCATCGGCGCCCAGGTCAGCCTTAACCAGTCGTGTTGGCATTGTCCAGGTGAACGGGATAAAGTTGAGGTGTTCCCCGTTACCGGTTCCATCGGGGAAGATTTCTTGACATTTTCGTTGCAGACGTGGACGGAGAAGAGAACCTTCGCACAGGGACGCGTCGATCAGCCATTGTGGCGTCTGTTTCAATACAGGGAGATTGGTGTAGAAATTTCCCATGGCAGAGGCCGAATCGTCTGCTTTTGCGACATGGGGTATTTCCCCGTTCTGGTAAACAGAAGAAGAATGCAAGGCAGCGAGTATGTATGCTTCTGAGAGATTTCGCGAGCCATACGTGACTTTCTCAATCCACAGTCTGTCTGCGTGAGGTTGACTGTCGAAGACTTTCGAGAGGAATACCCGGCCTTGATGGACCGCAGCCCGTATCTTCTTTTCCTGGAGTTGACGGCAGGCTATCTCGGTCAGGGTGTCGACGATGATAAGTGCATATGCCGTGACTTCCTTCGAACCATCCCACGAGCCGTCCGAACGTTGTCTCTGGAGTACGTAGACCAGGATCTGGAAGAGTGCCAGCGGGATGTCGTCTGTGAAGAGTTCACGGGCTTCCTTCTGGAGGATGCTTGAGTTACCCCAGACTTTCAGTGCCTGAGTTAAGGCTTGCGCCATTAACATTATCGTGTAATATGGGGAGAGGTTCTACGTTTTCAGTTAGCATCTATCAAACCAAACGGGACTTATGGCATGAACAATAGTCTCCATGGACTCACCCATTTATCGGTGATTATTTGCGTTGTAAACCACTTTTTGCACAGATATCTGGTAACTTTCGTGATGACAGCGCTGTGATTTGCTATATTTGTAGGATTGGACAGAAGAGCCATTAGTACATTGCAATTTGTGCTAATGCTACTGTTCCTCTCTTGAGGGTATGTCTTGAAGCATTCCCCATGATTGAAGTTGTCCACTAAAGCCGAGACAGATACATCTGCTCCTAAAAGGTTCAAGCACGTAATTGCTTTGGCAGTGTCGTCTGCATCTGGTTGGATTTGAGGGGCTAACAGGTCAGCTTTTAAGCTCATGGGCTCCCAGAGTTGTTAGACCTACCAAATCCGATCAGCCCTTGATGGGCGTGGATCTCATCCTCCAGTATTTTCCGGAATATCTCCAACTTCCCCTTCCCCAGCACGTCCATTTCAAATCCAGCAGCGAGCAACGTCGTTAGAACCTGCAAACGATCAACATTATGTCATATCGCAGGGAACAAGCAAAATGAGTAAGAACTAACCCAAGATAACTCAAACAGCGTAGCGGGAAAGAAACTGGGCACGCTGCCATTCCCGTCCCTTTTACACTGGGCCAGGACATGCCGCAAATAAGCTTCTGACTCTTTGTCCCAAGCTGACGCATGGATCAGGTACGCGGCCGTGGCTGACGGCGATGCCATGATGCTGCCACGGACCTTGTGGTGCGCGATTTTGTCGAAATCGATCTTCCCCTCGAGAGCCTCGAGGGAGTGTAGTATGGAGTGTGCCGGTCCGTGCTCGTCTTCTAGACGGTGGATATCGACCATGGAGAGCTTTTTGTCTCTTATTTTGTAGAGTACCTCGCGACCGCTGAACTGGAAGCGCATGTTGTATCTTTCGAGCGCGGTCAGGGAAGCCGGGACAAGAATCTCAGACCCCACATGCAGCGTATCTCCAAAATTCCAGTCCTCGAGCATGTTCTGCAAAGCTTGCTTGGCAGATGAGATTCGCTTGTCGAGGCTGCAGTCTGTTTCTAGCTGGTATGGTGTCTCGTGATGTTGGCAGAGCGCTAGCAGCGCTGCGGCCGTGTTGAGGATGCCGTCAATAGGGGAAGCGTACGTCTCCCAGGCGCCATTTTTCTGTTGTGCATCTAGGAGAAAAAAAAAGCTCTCTGGGAAGAGCCATTGTGTCACTCCGTTCTCGGTCTTCGAGATTATCGATAACCAGGCCGTGTCGTAGATAGAGCAGGTTATCGATGCAAAGCCATGGTGAGGGTCATGAGCGTTCAACATGCGGTCCAAGAGCTCGCCAGCGAGTCTCTCAACGGACGCAGTATCGAATTCCATGGTTTGGCCGTGTGCATGTTGAAGGTAAGAAGATAGAGTAAGTTGATCAGCAAAATGACTCCATTCACTAGCTACCTACAGCACGGGATATAGACAGTGCGGAGGCGTCTCGGGGTGGCTTCCTCGATGTAGACACGCCTTTCCTCAATATTGTTGATCTAATTAGTGTCCAAGAACTTGACGCAGTAATAGCAGCCGTCAGGCGTCCAGTAGGTCGAAAGTATGTTCCTTTCTGGCAATCTGGAGTCAATAGGCTTACATCCTGGCGGTTATTTCGGGGGGCCTGAAAGACGGCCCGCTAACTGTGATGCATTGCCAGCCAGGGTCAAAAATAACCTACATGTATGGATGCCTTGCCATTTATCTGGACCGAATAATAATTATGCAAGGCTGGAGATGATCATCCATTGCTTTGAGCTGCTTGGGGGGCTTACGAAGGCAGTGGCAGCATGCCAAATATAGGTAAACATATGTATAGGCTGGGGTCAAGATGACTGCATTAATTTAACTGCAATGCAACGCTTTAGATTGTCTGTCCTACACCATCATAGACGCATAAATTAACTACCAGGATTGGCAGTAAGCGGTATTTTTTAATGTAGAGTAGTATTGTAGAGTAATATTCTACAATACTATCCATTTTATATCCCTGTCCGTTCTCTCTCTTTGTTCTCAGTTTCCCCTCATTCACTCTTCCCCATTCCATCTTCTCTCCCATCCTCTCTTCCTTTTTTTGAACCCTCTCCACCCTGAATCGCACCTTCAATCTATCTTCTTCTTACTCTATTCTCCACATTCCCAATTCTCAAAGTCATTGTCAACCCACCATGTCATCTACAGAGGCTGATGTCGTCATTATTGGGGGCGGAACCGCAGGTCTCGTTCTGGCTGCGCGTCTCTCTGAGGATCCCTCGATTCAGGTTCTCGTTCTCGAAGCAGGCCAGGACCAGAAAGATGACCCCCGAGTCAGAATTCCAGCGCTCTGGCCTGGTCTTCTTGGCAGTGATGCAGACTGGAACTACGTCACACAGCCACAGGTGAGGCTTCATCCTGATACCACATGAATAATGACTGATCTTGCTGTAAAGACAGCCCTGAACGGCAAGCAAATTCCCCTCCCGCAGGGCCGGCTCATCGGTGGCTCAAGTGCTATGAATGGCCAGGCATTTATCGCCAACTCCAAAGCCAATGTCGACGCTTGGGGCAAATTGGGAAATCCCGGATGGGATTGGGAGACGCTCAGCCCATACTACAAGAAGGTGTACACGTTGACATTGCCATCAGAGGAGAAGCAGAAGGATCTTGGGCTGGAATACGTCGACAAGGCAAACATTGGTAGTGGGCCTGTCCAGGTGTCCTTCCCAGATTCGATCAAAGATCCAATTGCCAACGCCTGGGTCAAATCGCTGAGAGGCTTGGGATATCCCATGGTGAATGATCCTTTCTCTGGGAAGACCTTGGGGGGCTATACAAATGCTGCGACCATTGATCCTGTTTCAAAGACTCGCAGCTATGCGGGAAGTGCGTACTATGAGCCTGCTAGAGAACGATCGAACCTGACTGTCATCACTGGCGCTTTGGTTGAGAAGGTTCTCCTTGATTCAGGCTCAGGCGACGGTGTGACCGCGACCGGTGTCCAGTATAAGAAGGATGGTGATTCACAAACCGTTAAGGCACGCAAAGAAGTCATTCTCTCTTCTGGCGCCTTTAACTCGCCCAAAATCCTGGAACTCTCGGGTATTGGCTCCCGTTCTCTCCTTGACAAGCACAAGATCCCCGTTGTCGTTGATAACCCCAACGTCGGAGAGAACCTCCAAGACCATGTCCTGGCAGGCATCAGTTTCGAGGTCCAAGACTTCATCAACACTAAAGATGACCTCATGCGCCGAGTTCCGGAGGTCATGGGCGCTGCGATGAATGACTACAAGACGCGTCAATTTGGACCCTTCACCGTTGGAGGCAACTACTCTTCTGCTCTGCTTCCTATTCCCGAGTTCTCCACTCCTGACACTGGCGCCTCTGAGCTCTCCAGCGTCCTCGACATGATCCCAAACTCGGTGAACCCTGCCCATCCATTTTCCGCTGATCTCGCTGCCTTTATCCGCTCCCTCCTCAGCAACCCCGACGAAGCCACTGGCGGCTACTTCACCTACCCTGCACAGTCCGACTTCAAGGGTTCCGGCACAGGAGAAGAAGTCATTCGCACTAAGTTCCCTGAAAACTACATCACAATTGCTATCAGCTTGCTACATCCGCTGTCGTGCGGCAGCAGCCACATCGCCTCCGCCGACCCGAAGGATTCTCCCACCATTGACCCGCGCTTCCTGACCAACCCACTGGACGTTGAGCTCCTGGCGCGACACACTCGCTATATTGAAGCGATTGCTGCCTCACAGCCGCTTGCGTCGATGCTGAAGCCCGGCGGCAAGCGTACCCCTGGCATACCCGACGATTTCCGTAAGGTCCCGCTTGACGAGGTTAAGGACTACGTCAAGTCCGCAGCTAAGAGTACCTTCCACCCCACAAGCACCTGCGCGATGATGCCACGGGAGAAGGGCGGAGTGGTGGACTCTAGATTGAGAGTCTGGGGGGTGAAGGGATTGCGAGTTGTGGATGCCAGCGTGATTCCTATTGTGACGAGAGGAAATCCGCAGAGTTCGGTGTATGCCATTGCCGAGCGCGCTGCTGATTTTGTCAAGGAGGATTTGGCAGCGGCATAATTGCTGGATTGTACGGAGGAATGGCTCATTTTAAACAGATTGTATTGTAGATGAGGATCCATTGTTATTGTCTCTCAGTCAATGCTGCTTCCTCGACCGCCTAGTTCATGTCGCAATTGATGAACTTCATATTGTACAGCAATGGGGTGAAAAATTCCGCCCACAATATTCACAACTGCTGGAGCTTCGTGCACTAGCTGGACCCAACATACCATGGTTTGGGACTTCAGCCACTCTAGATTCAGTCATGCTGAAGCAGGTTAAAGAATTGTCAAACTGGCCATAATTGTATGAGTATTACTTCTAGCTGAGAAGTGACAGTCATGACGCCTTTTTGGCCTAGTGGTATTATTTCAACAAGAATCTGCTGGTTTCCACGAGCATGTCAGAACTATCAGAACCAATATCGACCGCCCTGACCTTTTCTATAATATACAGCCGATCGAAAGGCCCATGTCAAGTTATGAGGATCTCCACTTTGTAACACTGCCTAGCTTGCTAGCCAGTGAAGAATAAGTTGCTCCTGCCACTGCTCTTCAATGGGTAGCCCCCCGCCCCCCCGATGCCTTCATCTCCTTGGTCAGCTTGTTCTCCTTGTGTCTGGTCCGGGCGTTGTTCCTCATCATCCGGCTACTCCCCAGCAATGGTTCTCACCGCACCAGGAGGCACAGCCATGCCATCCAAGCGTGGACTCACTGTGGGCTCGTAGCATATTGCGCCGAAGTGCCTGGCGTTCTCGCTTCTGTATAAGTTAGCATCTGTTTAGCAAATATCTAGCAAATATCAGATCCATTTACTCAGTACTTACCATCTGCTCCGGAGACAGCTCAGCGACTGGGAGCCAGCTGGCGGCGACCGGGACGGAAGCATTATATCCAGCCCGTTTTGACGGACCATTGGCTCTATCAGCAGCATATCTTGAGCTCTGATCAACTTCTGGGAGATACATGAGCACAATCCCGTGAAGAAGTTGACCGGTAGTAATCTGAAATAACTTGACCTCGGCCTCATATCCAGCGGGCGAGTAACTGAATGACTACCCCTCCGTATGCTGGCACCGACGACAACCTGGACCGCCGGAGCGGCCTGGGCCTCCAGGGTATTTAAAATGCTCCAAAGAGCGACGGCAAGCTCCCTTTTATGGAGGGGCACACAGACGGCAGCGCGATGCGGCGGTCACGCGCAAGCACCTGCCCTGACGTTAGCAAAAATCACCAAAAGGGAGTCACATGGCGTCGAAATTCGCAAAAGGAAATCACCTCATGTCAAAGTCCGACACCACATGGGTCATACCAAGACCAACGGAGAAGTTGTAACCGAGACAGAGCACTTACAGGGACACACTTCCGCTTTGCGCGGAAACAAAACTCGCAGGCGTGGGCGCGGGAGGAGAAACGGTTGCAACTCTAATGAGAATCCAGGAAGATGTATCTTCAATCAATAGTATTAGAATTTGGAGCTCAGTAGGAGTGCCTGAGTGGAGAGTGCTTTACGGATATATATGAAGAAAGAAGAGCGGTTGAAGAAGCAGGGTTGGATAAGCACAGACAAATGGCAGGGGAATATAAAGTAGAACTGTGAAGATTAAAGTAGATCACTATAAGTAGTATTCACAAGCAATCAATAGCAAGGAATATAAAGTAGAATTGTGAAGATTAATGGAGATAACCACAGGCAATATTCACAGTATACTGTTTTTGGGATCAACGGTGGGGAGGATGATTGTGCAGTCAGATGGGAAAAGGGTAGGGTTTCTGGGGACAGGGGTAGGGCGATAGAAGAGCCAGAAGGAGATGAGATGGACGATGAGACGTAAATACCGGAAGACGAACAGATGAAGGAAAACGACCGTCATTTGGTTGTAGAGGAAGTCATCTCTTCAAAGATCTCTGGGTAGAACGCCAGCTACCCAGGAGGCGATTTCCGAGCGAACGTCGTGAAGGGTCCGGCCGGTTGAGTTCAAGAAGTATGTGGCTGCTGCTGCTGCTGCCATGAACAGCTGAGGGTGAGAGATTACCCAGGGTAATGTGATAAAGGCAAGGAGTGCGTACATTGTGTTGAAGCGTTGATTGGGATGGTTGTCCAAGGGCTCGATTGATGAGATGTGTTGCTTCAACTAGAGTAGTTGAGGATGTTGATGCAGCTGTAATCTCTGCTGGATTTGTCGCTATATTTGAATCCAGCAGAGGAATAAAGAGTAATCGAATGAACGAGAAAAGAGAGACAATATTCACAATTATGAAAGCTGTTAAACAAGACAGTCTCTGATGGATCCATGGTGAAGTGAGATGTTTCTCTATACAACAAAGGCATTAGAGACAAGGAACTATGGAGTTTCTTACAAGGCCTCTGCAAGCCCATTACAATGGTAACAGGTACCAGAGACATGGAGAGCTGACAATGAAACATCGGATAATGCATTATGTCTTTGTTGAATCATGCTATACAAAGAGTGAAGCACAACTAAGAAATGAATGAAGATAAGACCATCGAAAACCTCAACTGCCGCAAAGAAGAGGTCTCAGGGCGCTTTATCAAACAAAGCAATGATTCGGACGACCCATGGTAGCATTTAGCCACTGAGAACTTCCTTTCTCCTAAGATGAGCACTCTGATACTGTTCAAGTTAAAGAACCTGTGAGTGTGACATTTAGCACAAGTCACCATAATGAGGATCTGAGCCGAATGACGATCAACAGATTCTTTTACGGTCACTGTCGATCGAAATCAATGATCTAGACTTCAGACTTTGGTCGCATTCAAAGAAACTCCCAAAAACAGTCATTGTAAGAGGCACTCGGCCATGCGAACATGCCATATCTGCGGTTGAATCTTCTGCAAATGGCTTCTATGGCTCAAGATCCAGATGAATCATATACACTGGAAACAGAGTGTGAAGCTCCGTCCCTTGAGCTGATGTTTTGCCAGCAGTAATCACTTCCTCCAGCCGTAGCTCGGCCAGTCGACATATGATAGAAGTAATACTGCGGTGGGCAATCTGAGAATTTGGCCATTGTGCTGGTTGGTACTCAGCAGGAGAGATGATGGACGGCGGACTTCCTCCAAGCCGAGCTCTTTTCTATCTAGGTCTCCGTGGCAAGATAAACTATCCAGGAAAGCCAATATTGCACATGATCATCCACAGAACTGGGATAGCGGTCGAAGAAAGAGAGACACTCAAGACCGGCTTGGGCTAGGTAGAGCACGGATACTTAAATACTCCTAATAGCTCGCGATATAGCATTGTGACAGCGAGCTTCGGACACAAAAGCGTAATTGTTGGATAAGTTTGAGATTCTCAAACTTATCCAACAATTAATCTGATACACCTTCTCCTAGATCCGGGAGCCAACATGAATGCTCCCGCATGTCTGAAAGGAGGCGTAACCGCATTGCAGGAAGCCGCAATCTGTGGTCATCTCCAACTTAGCTTACTTCTTCTCAAGAAGGAGCGCGGATGTGAACGCTCCCGCATCGCCTATTGAAGGCTGGACGACTACAAAGGGGTCTCCTCATAACGGCCGTATAGACATGGTGCATATTCTGCTGGATGTGGACCGTAATCTCCCGGTCAGACACAGATCGGGTTCGACGCGCCGTTTCTTTGGTCAAAGAAAACAGTCATCCTGCCGTGGTTAGCTTACTTGAGGGTCATTGTACATGAGGAACAGATCACTGCATCAACTTTCATGAATGAGTGTGTACACTCTAGTTGGCTGTAAACAAAGAAGTAGGCATTTTGGGGATGTTGGAACATTTGCCATATCACCCGCTGATATCTGGGTTAAAGTTAGCAAGGTCTTGAGGTTGTCCTTGAACCTCCGAGACCTTGTCGAACTTTTCCGAGGTTTTGCTGAACTTCAACCCGGATGTTAGGTAATAGGATAAAGAAAAATCATCTTCTGGTCCTTCTCATTGAGTGGCGGCTCGCTCTCGAGGACCTCACTCGATCCGAAAACAAAGGACGATATGGCCCTACAGCACGTTTCCTTTGAAGTTTGATCCTCCTTTTTTTTTTCTTCGGCTGGGGGCTTGACAAAGCGCGGAGAGTTCTCTTGACTTTATGAAAGTAAGTGGTTTCTCCGCCGCGGTGTTTCTTTGTCGGTACGTCGGGGCGGTGCTTTGTTATCGAGTATACACAATAAGACTCAACGGTCGAGAATGTTCTAATTTTACCACTCTTTCATATTTCCACACGGCCTTGGCGTGTACCATGGTTCAGAGATATCGACTTCAAGGAAATGACCTCGAGGATTGATTGAAGGAGCCGGTCCTTTACTCCAACTTGGAACGGAGATTCCCTGCTTCTTGTCGGGAAGATCATTATGCATTAACTGTCAATACACAGTTACTAACGCTCAAGTCTTAATATATATACCGACCTTTCTGGGCCAGGACATGGTGGTCTCAACATCATTCACAACTGATTCAACACGCGCAAGATGGCCGACCTCCGATACAACCCCAAAAGGCAGAGTCGCCAGAGAATGCTGGGCCGGACCTACCCATGCCGGATCTCTCGCTTTCTGGATGCCCATGGAATCCCTAACGTGCTCTGGGGAGAGCTTGTGATGAATATGTTTCTTATTCCCGTCGTGCCAGACGTAAGTCCCCCAATTCCCCTGAGGCACAACAACTACAGTTGGAGGAGCTAACCACCGGACAACAACAGGGCATCTACTTCGTCATCCCCGATGAACATATCGACAAAGCACGCGACCTCCTGGTGGCAGCCGGCTTTCCCCCCTGCCAGCTGGGGAAGTATTGCGGCTTCGACTGGCCCAAGTCTTGCCATGGAATCCCCTACGCGCACTTCAATATCGTGGACCTCGGTCCCTTAGATTACTACAAACCCGAGGAATACGGCCCAAATCCCCGCCAATGGTACACGCTAGAACTCTACAAGAAGTCCGAGCTGCTGTGGGGAGCGCCCGAAATCCCGCTCGGAATACCCGAAGCAGATGACCCAGACTACTGGACAGTCAAGGATAAGCGTCTTCCAAAAGTCGCCATTGAATTCCAGCGAGGCCGCGTTGTCGAGGCGGACTATCGAGTCAAGATCCCCTCGCCAGCGCGCTACGCTGAGTCGCTGACCCTCCTGTTCTTCCGGGATAATCTCCCGGAAGAGACTTTCAGAGGGAGCTTCTGGGATTTGCTGCTGCTGGACATGCAGGTAGTGATGGATGAGCACCGCCTCTTCAAACTGGAGGACCTTCCGCCTCGTACTCGAAGCTGGTTTAAAATTCTGACCGAAACCCCACGGGAAAGAACGCATGGTGATGCCGAGGAGAGGTTTGGGGCGGAGATGAGGGAGGCGGGCGAGGTGCCCGAAAAAAGTCCCTGGCCGTCGCAAGTTACTATGCCGCCTGGATGGCGTGAAGAGCTTAAACAGTGGGACGAGGAGGAAGAGCAGAAGAGAAAGAAGAAGGAGGAGGAGGAGGAACAGTAGATGAGAAAGAAAGAAGAAGAGGTAAAAGAGGAGCAGAATGCATGATGGAATGATGGGTAAGCTTTGTAGCTGTTTTATGTTTGTCCTGTACTCATTTACTTATTGTTGTTGATTGCCATATTCTGAGCATATGTATGTTTAACTTGCTTATCCATCAAGTTAATGATGTTGTTATACCTTGTTCTGTAATGTTAGAGGAAGTTTCACCTGAGACTAATTCCAGCGATTGTGGCATAATTTTAGTTAATAATGTCTTGTAACAGGATAGCTTATAACACCACCCTCATGTCCGCCATAACTAAGACAAACTGTATAGTCCATATGATGTTGATAAAGGATTAAAAAAGAACAGATCTTTATACATCTGCCATGCCTCTATGTATATCCTCACCCTTGTTTCAGAGTGAACATCTATTGCAAGATGCACTGGTTCTTAAACCAGATAATGACTATAAATAACAGGTTCCATTCCCTTCTTCACAGGCTCAGTCAGTATGGACTTTATTAATCAAGCTCTGCGACTTCCTTTATAAGCTATGTGCTGAAAACCACAGAGCCACTCTCAACATGAGCTTGAGTCAATTGTCTAATGATGCCCTCAATGCCGCACTTAGAGCTGCAGCAAGAGCAGTCATCCAGTCCCTACAGGCAATGCCTGAACTGCAGGGAGCTAAGGTTGCAATTGTCGGTGGGATGGCGGTCCGACATTATATAGGCGACAACCGGCGAACCTTGGTGAGTGCACTGACACTGAAGAATTAGATCTACCAACTTGTGCTGATGAGGCGATGCATCCTGGTGCAGGATGTGGATGTTCTGATTTTCAGGCCTAACAAGCCCATTGACACCCAATGGGTCCGCAAGGAGCTGGTCTCCCGTTTCCCGAAGTCCTTCAGGGTGTGTGGACAGCCGCTGTTCTTCAGGTACAAACAGAAGGCCAAACGGAAGGGCACACGGAAGGGCAAACGGACGCACTTAGTGCAGGTGGACATAATTCCAGGGCACTTGGTACGTTTGTGTGTCCCAGTCAGATAGATTAATTCAAACTAATGTGACTGATGGCAGCCACCGTACCTGCCTGTGGAGGCAACGACGCTGGAAGACATCAACTTCAAGCATCTGCCGTTTGTTCCGCCATTGGACCAACTCGCATATAAAGTCCACAGCTCAAGCATGCGTTCCTGTCTCAAAAAGCAAAAACAGGACGCCGAGGACGCGATGAGGCTCTGGCAAACTCTATACAACCAAGAGTATGTTCCGCTGAGCGATGCCCAGAGAGACGCCATCGCTTCCGGGGTGGATCTGATGGCGGAATATTGCAGGCATTGTCGCTGGAGAAAGTGGAGGTTAAGGCAATGGGTAAATCAGTGAGAGAGGAGCATCGTGGGGGGTGGGTTCAACATTTAAAGATATAGTATAGAGCAGCTGATGAGGTCCTGCTGGTCAGAGACTAATATAAATAAATTGTACTAATGATAATCCATCTGCCGGTGTCTACAAAGCATTTTGATGTATGCAGCGCATTATTCTCCAGGAAACCAGGGGTCTGCAAGACTTTTAGCAGGCGTTCCACATGACTCTCAAGCAAACTTCCAAGTATACGATGACACGGTTAGCGGGGCGCCAGAAACGGCCCTCATTGAACCGTCCGTCTGCCGCTTTCCACCGCCTGCCCCATGCCGAAGTCCCACTGCCCCTTGCGGCCTAGCGCGTCCGCTTTGGGGATCGCGCCCGTGTTCTCGCCGCTTTTGCGCCCATCGCCTGCCGCCTCATGCCTCCCGCGCGATCTATATAACCCCATCTACCCTCCCTCGAAAGGCGACGCACTTTCTCTTCCTCTTTCTCCTGCTGCCTGCCTCGCCCCAAGTGCACTGCCCCCTTCCCAGGATGCCGCGTTATCCGAACACTACCCCTTTTCGGTATGGCGCCGTCGGCGTCTCCTCTTTTCTCGCCCCAGTCAACATCAGAGTCGCCGACAGCTCGACCTATTGGTAACTATTGCTCCGTTGGTTTCTCAGCTATCCACGTCTCCCTTGTCCATGTGCACCCTATCGCGTGTGGCCACCGTCGGGCCACCTGGGCCCGTGAGATCATGGCGAATTGCGCCTTGTGTTGTATGGCCAGTGAATGTGGATGCTTCGTTTTTGCTGCTTGATCTCTTCCTGATTGTAGTGTGCAGCACTATTTCTGCGTCTCCTCCATCTACAGGGACGTGAGGTGCCAGGTGAGGCAGCAGGAATCTTCCGCGCGGCTGGAATAATCCTTCTCTTCGACCCCTCACCGCGGGTCTGTGGGCGCAGCTGACCAGCGTCGCATCCTATGCCATTCATGGCCGATCCTTGACCCACTATCCTCTGTACCCGCCGAGCGTACACTATCACCTCGACTGCTGGCCAATGGCAAAATTGCCGCATGTGTCTTTGGCATGCTTTGTATCTCAGAGAGGTTTGGAATGCGAGGCTTGGGGGCAGCAGGCCGACGTGGTTGGCGGAGAACCGACGTGGTTGGCGGAGAACGCTCCATCCCAATTTCCGGGCGGACCGTGTAACCAAAGGTCAATACGTCGGCTGCTTCAGGGGTAGCTGAAAAGGGGACGAATTCTGCTTCGGTGGCTCTTTTCCCCTCGATGTGTACGGTGGGAGCGACGAGACAATTCACCGAGGAGCGAAAGTATAAGAAGGATGATCGAACTCCCGAGGATAGCAGTATAGGGGCTTGCTTTCCTTCAACACTTGCACATTTCCTTTTACTCCAGTCTCATTCCCGTCTCATGCCTAATCCTCGCGCAGTCACATTCCACCAGCATATCCCAGTCTCCCCTTACCCCAATATGTTGCCTGTATTTCACGCTGATAACTTCAAGACATGGACTCCCCCTTTCCGCACGAGATCCTCCTCCAAGCGCTCACGCCTACACCCTCCTTCCAATGAGTCCCCTGCCATCAAATTTCCTCAGTCACCCCTCCCCCAAGCATTGCCATTGCCCAAGCATCAGCTCCCGGCGCGGCCCCCAGCCGAGGTTTGCGTTCATGCAAGTGCCGTGACCCCATCTGGCACCTTCCGGGGCCCTCAGTCTCCGTCCCAGAAGTCATCTAGGCTGCACTCTGCCACGACGCCTGCCACGACGCCCGCCACATCATCCGACACGCAGCACGCAGAGCGCGGAGCTGGTCCATCATCAAATTCGGATTTATCCACGTCACGCGAAGTTCACAATGCCATTGATGCCTCAATTGATGCGCTCTTTTTTCCAGAGGACGCCTTGACTTATATATCGTCACCCAGTGTATCCAGCTCGGACGAGAGCTGGCAAGAGTTTCTCCAACCGGCAGACGAACAAAATGGGATTCTGATCGACCCGGTGATCCTCACCAACAATGGCCCCTGGGAGACAGAAGATGAACGCCAGCATATTCACGCGGACGGCGATGCCGTCATCTCGGAGACCATTTGTCAATATCCCGACCCTCCACCACTTCTCCGCGACACGCGTGCCGAGAATAGAAACTCTAACGCATATCCTGAAGCGCAGGAAGGAAACTCTCGGTCGGATAGCCCGCTACACAACCAGTCACACGCACAAGTATCTGCCGATAACAACCCCGAAGCCCACATTCGTGCGTCCAGCAACCCCCTCGAGGTCCCAACCAGCGGCCAACAGTCGAAACGCCGCAAGCGAAAGTTGTAACAGTCGCATGGACAACCACAACTGTGCAAACTGGTCAGAGGTTCTTCTGCAACCGCCTCAAAGGAGAATTCTTTTTCATCGCTTCGTTCTCACTTCACATCTGTATCGGTTGATGAACGCTTACAATTTCTTTCGTGGCTGTTCGAAGGCGCACTACCACGCTGTATGTCTGAATCCGATCTGAGAGTGTCTGAACCTATAGCACAACCGGCACATTATGTATCTCAGCCAGCTGATTCCACTGCGCTTCCTGAAACCTCTCGGAAAGGCATGCCGTGGTCCTCCGAAGAGAAGGACCTTCTATTAAGGCTGAGAAGGGACGAGAAACGACCTTGGTCGGACGTGGTAAGGTTATTTTCGGACCAGTTTCCGGGTCGGAGCCTCGGCTCCATTCAAGTATTTTGGAGCTCGACCCTCAAGAATAGAGTACATTAACACGGTATGCCTATCCGCCTCTTTTATTTTTTCCGGTCTCCGAACCCACATAGTGCGATATGTAGTTGTAGAATGATAGAGTCGTGGACGCGGCCAATTGCCACGATGACCGGGTGAACAACAAGGGTGTCAATCCCCTGTCCCCGCGCGACGGGTCAGATAACTCTTTGTACTTGTGTTCTTTTCCCCTGCATCACCTGGCTGGGAGGATATGTGCGGACTCCCGAGCTGGGAACTTCTCACATCCTTAGGGGAACTTCCCCCCCTCCTTCTTCGTGAGGACTTCCCACGGATCAGGATGGTCTCCTGAGTTCCTCAAAAAACTCCCTCAGCGAAAAAGTCGCTTTTGTCTCCGTTGTACGTGTTTTCCAGCATCTATATGTGAAGGATGGCTTGAGACCTTACCACCCTGACATGCTCTGTCCAGCCTTGCTACCTCCTCCGTTGGCTGATAAACTGGGTTTGTCATTAGATGGGATGATTACGCTCGACGTAGTTGTGCCTCTATCCAACCTCCCTGTGCACGCACTGAGGTAGAAGCACAATTGGTGGTGAACGCAAACGCGTCATCGTCCATTACGATAACTGACAAGATGTCTGGCAACAGTGCACAACTTTGAGTTGGAAGCTTATTCCTGTCGCCCTTACTATAATATCAGAGCCATAAACGTAGCAGTTTCTTGGATTGTTGGCTGGTACGATGGATTCGATGCGTCTGGTAAAAAAATACAGGATAATGACGAGCTCATTGTTTGTCCAACGTGTAAAGCGAGGACCTGTGAATTCCCTCTTGTGGTTAGTTTTGCCGTTTTGGGTATGGTCTCCCGATACGCCGTCTTGTAAACACCGCCCGCATCATGACCTCCAGTATATAAGAACCGTCCCCTCGCTGTTCTAACCATCCTCTCTCCCAACTTCTTCTTTCCCCCCGAATACCCCCCAAATATTCTACACCCTTCCGGTCGCTGCCGTCGTTTCGTCTGCCCCTATGGCTACTACCAACCCCCCTCTTTTTTTTCCCATCGGAAATTGCGGCTGCGCCTCCCCCCTCTCTTCTTGTCTCCACTTCTCAGCCGTCAGCCTTGACCTGTTGTTGAGCTAGCTAGGCTGATAATGTCTCCCCTTTTTTACTTCTGGTGAAACCATCCAGGTTGCAGGGGGGGGGAAAAAATAAGGTGCATTGAAATTTGAAGCTATTTGAAAAAACATAATACTATACCATCCATTTGTTTTGTTTCAATAATTGCTTCACCTGGTGAGGAATGGTTTAAGATGGCTTTTCTAGTCTATATAAATTGATAATATTTTCATGCTTCCCTTGCTGCCCGGTCAGCCGTATAAGCAGTCTTCTGTGTCTCGTGCATGCTCAAGTTCAGGACAGAGCTTATAGATTTCCTAGTTATTATCACCCATAGATTCTCAACTAGATTCAAGTCCGGACCCTGACATTTAAAATTACAACATGACTGGCTGGCAAAAAGATTGGGGCAAGAACCATCCCTATCCCAAAACAATTGGAACAACCCGGGCCTGACAAAACGCCATTGAGAATGAGTCAATGACCGCCCACGAGTTAGACAGGCTGCGATGTCTTCTCAGGGAAGCAGCAGATCGATTGAAGCAAGCCAAAGCACAGCCATGCGGCAGGTGATCGTCGATGGCACAGTAAATGCAGCGTGGCTGTCCCCTTTTCCCCGCGTCAGAACCATCAAATCATCAACTTTTGTCTTTGAAGTCCTGCTCAGAAAGTCAAGGCTTCCAAGAGAGAAGCCGGACCTCAGGACAACCACATAACAATTCTGACAACTGTATAAAAATCACTACTACTGTTCTTGAAGTGACTGTCTAGACACCTTGTTGGGTGGGTGGTAATTTCTTTAAAGGGTGATTCTTCGGACGTCCGAGAATACCCGGGATCTCGTATCAATCCACACATGGTAATTAGGTACACTAGAGACTGAATTGGTAGCTGCAGAGGCAAATGGTGGATAACGAACATCTGCAGGGCCGCTTTCAGCAGGTCAAGAACTCATACCTTGTTGGCAAGCTCGGCTTCTTCTAGAAACTAATTGCGTGCCTCAACAGGCAGGGCGCCTGTCTTACAAAGAACGTAGGTCCCCTGAACATGCTCATTGGTGGTTGATCGATATGACTGCTGGGATCACCCCCGGACCCCGGTCCCCCACAGCCTCACCGAATGATGCCCGTGAGTCGTGACCCCAATGACATCCTAGTGGCCACTCAAACCCCTCAGATTCTGTTTTGGGTAGTACAAAGTATGACAAGGATGTGATAGGTGCCAAACAGTCACGTGTGGAGCTCCGCCTCAAGAGTCAAAGACTCAAAATGCAGGTGCGGCTGAATGCTGAGTATAAAGACAGATTCATTCCAAAGATTTGTTGGAGGAGTGCACCCAGCCCTATTGTGATTAGTGAACTCCCTGTACGAAAAGCAGCTTATTTGGTTGAACTCTTGAAGTGATGACGACTCCAGCGCGGTCTCCCTTCACTAATGAAGAATACACAGTTGGATGGATCTGCGCTCTATTGGTTGAGCTAGCGGCGGCAAAGGGTATGATGGATGAGGTACATGGAGAGCCACGGACTCCACCAGCTGAGGCGGACAACAACTCGTACATCTTGGGATCCATGGGAAGGTTTAAGGTCGTCACAGCTCGTCTACCTATACACTAACTCGGTTCCTCCTCGGCAACAGCAGTTGCCAAAGAGATGCTCTTTACGTTTCCGAGAATTCGCGTCGGGCTGCTTGTTGGTATTGGTGCAGGGATACCTGACTATGATAATGACGTCGATATCCGCCTGGGGGACGTCGTCATAAGCAGCAGCCCCAAAACTGGAGGAGTTGTTGTCTATAACTTTGGAAAAGCACTTGCAGATGGGTCCTTCGAGAGCCTTTCTGTATTAAACAGCCCTCTAAGGTCCTTGGGCTCTGCTCTTGGAAAGCTCTAAATAGATTACCTGATGTAACAGAACAAGATAGCGTACTATATTGAGAAGATGCTGGAGAGATTTCCGCTTATGCGCAGCAAGGGATACTCTCATCCTGGCCATGCGGCTGATTGCTTGTTTTAACCCAGCTATCTCCATGCTGCTGGCAAATCCTGTGTTAAATGTGATCCCTCAGCGGAGATTAGCCGCGAACCATGATTAGATGAGAGCCCGGTGATTCATTATGGAACCATTGCATCTGGTAATATGGTGGTCAAAGACGCACTTACATGAGACTTGATTTGGGACAGACATGGTGCGATATGCCTAGACATGGAGGTAGCAGGTTTGATGAATAATTTCCCTTGTATTGTGATCCGTGGGATCTCATATTATGCTGATTCTCATAAGAATGACTGCTGGCAGCCATTTGCTGCTGCTACAGCCGCTGCTTGCGCAAAAGAGTTTCTGGAACATGTACAGCCCAAGGCTATTGAGGCCGAACCTGCAGTTAAGGATATCCTGTATCAAGGTCTGTATTACTTCCCAGATAAACCATGAATTCCACGGATGAATCCTTATATCTGACGAGTAAGGTTACTATAAATCTAGTCCATGATGATGTCGCCGAAATCAAATAATTTGTCATGACCGAACATTCTCAACGTATCCTTGATTGGATCACTGAGTTAGACTTTGACCGTCAGCACAACGACAACCTAGAGCCAAGGTTAGAAGGAACGGGTCTATGGCTTTTAGACTTGGAGGAATTCATTCAGTGGATCAGCCAACCTCAGCAAACACTGTTCTGCCCCGGAATCCCAGGAGCTGGAAAGACAGTTATGTCCTTAATTGTAGTAGAACACCTAAGGACAAAGTTCCTGGGTGACCCAGAGGTGCAGGTTGGGTGCCTGTTTTGCAGTTATCAACTAAGCTACCTATCTTGCTTTGGTTAAAGATCTCACTGTATCCCAATGTTCAAGATAATGTTTGTTGTGAGGTTGTGAAGAGCGTGGACGGAATGTAAGCTACTAAAGCCTGCCCTATAGATTGTTGATATGACTGTAACTAAACTTTGATCTAGGTTCTTACTCACCACATTACACATGGACCACTTGAAGGGGTATCTTACTGTGGGCGACCTTGAAGAAGCTCTTGATCACTTGCCCCGTGGGAGGACCAGACTGGGGAAAGCATATGATCACGCAATCGACAGAATTGAATCTTAATCTGAACCATGCTGCCAAATGGCAGTGAAAATTCTGTCTTGGTTGACCTACTGCAAGCAAGCACTCTTTGCCTAGGAGCTTTAACATGCGCTTGGGACTCGGTATGGCAAGAGCGATTTGGACTAGAAGTTCTTGCTGGATATTGACATTATTGATTCAGTCTGCGCGGGCTTGGTTGTTTTTGATCAAAACACTGGACTAATCTGCTTGGTTCACTACATAATGAAGGAGTATCTCTTAGAACACCATATCTTTCATAATTCAGAGGCAGAAATTGCCCAGACATCCATCACATATCTTTCCTTCGGGGCTTTCTCCAGCGGACGCTCTACAGCTGTTAAAGCTTATGAGTACTAATAAGAACTTTATCCTCTTCATCATTACTGTGCACAGTATTGGGCAGCACATGCCTTAGCGGCTCTGGATAAATCAAAAGAATTAATGGCGCTTCTCATTGCATTTTTGGATAAAGAATCACACGTCCATGCGGCTGGCTAAGCCATGATGGCCCATTCTCTCCTAGGTGAACAACCGCCTTTGGCCGATTGTCTAGACTAGCTAGAATTTATTCCGTGTTGGTTGATGAAGGTACATCTTGCAGCTCATGGTGCTCTAATAAGCATCATTACTGAGTATATACATCAAAATCAGGAGTTGGACATTGGAGACTCCTGAGGCAGAACGCCGCTTGCCTATGCTGCTAAAGCCGGCCATCTTAAGACTACTAGAGTTCTTCTTAAATCTAAACGTGTCAATCCAGACTCGAAAGATGAGGATGGCTGAACACCTCTATTACTTGCAGCTTTTGGCGGATATAAAGATGTAGTCCAGCTTCTCATTTAATACAGGGCATGCCCAAATCCTAAGGATGAATTTGGTTTTGATGGATTATGTGCTGCTGCTTTGTCTGGGTATATTGAGATAATGCGAATTCTACTTGATCATAGTGCTTAAATTGATTAACAGTGCCCGCCTGATGCATTAGAGGAGGGTACTCCTCTAATGAACGCCTAGTGTTCAGAAAATAAGGACGCTGTTCTATTTCTCCTGGAAAGGGGAGCAGATCCCGACTTCCCTAATGAATATGGGAACACAATTCTATCAGCAGCAGCACGTAACAATGATGAAGAGCTAGTAAAGCTACTTCTTGAAAGAGGAGTCCAGGTTGACCCCAAAGGCAATTTAGGCACCAGCGCCCTTGGATACGCTGTGAAGGGAGGGTTTCTTGGCATAACAAAGCAGCTTATCAAGGCTGGCGCTGATGTCAACATGCGAATTGATTATGGGAGCAGCGTGCTCACGAGTGCGTGCAGTTACTCGGCAGAAAGCTATGAGGAAATCGTCTACTAGTTACTCGACCATGGTGCTAATCCGAACATACAGGACAGTTCTTTGGAGACCCCTCTCTCAATCTCCACAAGACGTGGATCTCTGGGTGTAGTGAAACTCTTACTTAGATATGGAGCCGACCTAAATATTCTAAATAAGAGTGGGGAGATAGCACTATTCTGGGCAGCAAAAAAGGGGCATGGAGAGCTAATCGGCAGTCTTTTATATAATAAAGCAGATCCGCATATCTGCAACGAGGCTTTTGAGACTGCATTGTTTCCTGCTGTGAAAAAAGGACATGTTTCTGTTATCAGTCTTCTACTTGATGCAGGATTGGATGTCCACTCCCAAGATATCGCTGGGAATACTCCGCTTTTCTATGCTGCGTTAAGTGGGAATGAAGAGGTCGTAAGATTATTGTTGGAGAAGGGTGCACAAATTGATTATCAAAATGCATTGCAGGAGACAGCGCTTTTCTTCGCAGCCTGAAATGGGCGGACCACAGTTGCCAAACTTTTAATAGAGGCCGGTGCCACTAAAGATCTGAGAAACCTCACTATGGAGACACCTTTGATATACGCAGCCAGCGGCCTTTATAATAACTCGCCTTCCTTCTCCAATAAAGATACACTGGATCACAGTTCCATGGTGGCTCTTTTCCTCGAGAATGGAGCTGATCCCGATCCTCTATACAACCCAACTTTCCAATCAAAGTCACAATTTGAGTCATGGGAGGTTCTATTCTCTTCTTTAGTTTCTCCTTGTTGATACCGAACCCCGAAAACGCAAAACGCCCCTCTGGAACGTTTTGCTTCAAATGAACCTGGTATTCGGATTACTTGTTCCGAGGCTGCGCGCCACATATGAGATTCCGCGCGAAATGGTGACTCTAATGCGTGGTGGCATTGGCGGCCAGCCGCACCATAAAGTGTCAAAGTACACCTACAACCGGTTACAGGTTAGTGCGGCATGTGATGTAAGTGGCATAAGTGCGAATCATGTGATATCTTCTGACTCCCTCGCAGGAGAGCAATCTGGGAGTGCGGAATTTCGGACAGGGTAAGTCAGCATGAAATCGCTCGATCTAGCAACTATTTAACAAACAATTTTTTGACAACTGGGATCACTCTATCCAATCTGCCTCGTGCCCATATCAATCCATGGGTTGCGCCTTTCGCAGTGAAGCAACTTCCCGGCCACCTTGATGAACTTGCTCATCTTCAGTAGACAGTTGCTCACCCTGTAGCTCTGGATTCCGACTAGGCTGGAAATTTCACTTTAGTACGGCTAGCGCCCTTCGATATGATGAACTTACGGATTTGGTGCCGTCGTTCAAACCAAGATGGACACTCAAAAATCAACTACGTGGTTCAGCCACGTATGAACACTCGATGAGAAGCGACTTTTATGGGATAATTACGCACTTTTGACCTGCCCTAAATTCAAATGCGGCTCGCGCTGTCGTGCACACCGGCCCTCTCGAAATGGCACACACTTGAAACTAGCGACATCCACTCGTCAATGAACACTTGGGGCATCAGCGACATCGTTCAACCACCCGTTCTCGATGAACAGATAGCACAGTCTTTCTCGGACTGTTGAATACTCGAATATCAGAGGCCCTGTTGAAATGCATATGTTTCAGAGCGGCAGTGCGAGCTCATCATACTAAGTACTCAGCTGACAGGGTTCAAATATCCTTGGGTCTAACGCATCTCGCATCTACCTCAAAAGATCAGCGACTCTGATGCTGACGCCTCCGCCAGTGGTCCCACTCTTAAGTGGATACCGTGGAGCAACGACATGGTCAACCATTCTCCTTACGTCGACTAAGTCACATATTCCGCTCAAACCCTGCCAATTATTTGGTGTTCACAGATTGGCTCAACCATACCCACAAGCAGTTGTACGCGATGTGATTAGGGTGACGGACACTGGCATGAGCGACCTTTACGAGGAGCAATAGTAGCTTTCGAGATTTCCCCTAGATGCGCTAGCTACCCATATCCATTCCTCATTTCATTCTCCACTCTGAAGAGGGGAAGAAGCCCATCAGTTTCAGCATACTAGGGTTTACTGGCCTCCATTCAGCAGCCAATTCATCGGGCGCTCATGCGGTTTATCCGACGATATTCGGAATCTCTCATGGTGGTTTCGATACTCTTTTATATCACACTTTATTTGTCGGGAAACTTAATTCGCAGCTGAATGGTCATGGAACCGGAGATTCATATTGTTTTCTACATAGTTCAAGCTTCTCGGGCGTGGCACGAACCTCCCGGTGCGGTCCATGGTAGTGATTGATGTTCAGAATATGACCCGAAGATTTCTATCGTGCATCAAAAACTATCTCTCTCCCACTAGAAGAGCAGTTCGTTTGCTAGGCAGTATATCTTGGCAGCTGGGCGATATCTTGCATCCTTTACTGCTTATAGAATGGCCGTTCTTGATGTGTTTGCTGTGCTCGCTGATCTCCGGAAAAGCAGGTTAGTAGGGAGAATCTTTTGTCGCATCAAAGTCAGCGGCAAAATGTTTCCATGTTATTGACAATATAGATAAGGAACCATCGTTAAGAAGCTCTAGTAGAATGTTACAAGCCTGCTACAGGCATCAAGAGCTCTTGCTAGTGGCATTAACAGATCATGAGACAGCAATGGAAGGAGGAAGTTCGAGCTAGAGAAATACGGACTCAAAAGAAACGTGCAAACAGTCTCTCTCTGGTCAGGGAGGATCTGACGAGAGGTCGGCCATCCACCACGGATAGAAAAACGCTCGAGCGGTGAAATCTGTCAAGCTGTAGAAGGGTCACAATAGAATGAAAGAGTAGGCAATCATAGTGACAAGGGTCGAGTACTCAGGTAGGCAAAAGATACACGAGTGCATGGTTAATACATGTCATGACATCAGGGTAACTTTGATGTGACAACGACTTACCAACATTATATTATCATTTCGTCGTCCTGTTTTGTCAGGCATGTTTTGTGGCGGTGCAGAGGAACGTATCGTCAGAGACCAGTTTGTAAGGTAATGTATTTGAATGTAAAGGGAAAACAGCCCTCCAGCAACGAGTCAAGATTACAGCCGCGCCTTAGCTACTACCCACACATTGTCAGAAATCACATCTGTTCTTGTCCTACTTCGTCGGCACAAAGTATGCATGATCTCTTTCAGAAGTGAATCCCTTTCAACCTTCCGACGGTTCGATACTACGCATGCGTCTGGCGCGCCACTCAGATCAGGAGAGACAAGAGATTCTGTAGCACGTTTATGCATTACTATATCCGGAAGCAGCATTGGATGATATGATATCAGACTCTCTTGGAAGCAAAAGATTTTGGATACAAGCAAAATTAATCTCTGTATAATGATGAGGATATGATATACTAAAGTAACCTGTACACAAGTCTAGCAACGCTTATGATACATGTCTAAGCGGCCTTGACCTGGTCAACCGCCGTACTGGCGGCTGAATTTGCAACCAACATTTCCTAAGAGAAGCTGTGGATTGGTCCGGAAAACACCTCTGAAAGGCATGCGCCATCTCTTCGACACGCCCTGCATTCCGCATTAGGACCTTCAGTAACTGGTCCTCTTCCTGGCTGTAAGGTCTAGCCTTCCAAGCCGAGATGTGGGTACTTGTAGACTGTTGACGAATCTTCGCTGCTTGAGCTCTTGCTTTAGCTCGCGTTAATGGCCCTGCTGACGCTAGACCCGGCCCTATCTCACTTCCGCTTGTGCACACGCCAGAAGAGTTTTGGGTGGTCGGAGGCAGTTCTGCAACTGCCGACAATTTATCTCTCATCAATCATCGCACCGACTCTTTGCTCAGTGGACTTTGAGGTGACAATGCGGAAAAAATGAGCGAGTTGCCGGTCTCGGGAACAGTATCGCCTTGAGATTCGGTACTGTCCAGGGCTGGGCCTGCGCACAACGTTTGAGGTGGGAAATCAATCCCAGGCCTCTCTGCCAAAGAGCTGCTTGCCAACTGCTCTCTGAGGTCACACTCATCGAGCTGTTGGTGCTTCCCTTCTGACCAGGATAAGATAGTGGTAGATATATCCAGGATCCGCGGGTTGATTACAGTAGCGCTGGGAACCGAGCCAATTGCTGAGGGGCGAGGACTATCAGTGACATTCATAATATCAGATAAGGCCGAGCGGATATTGTCGTCATCCGGACTTGTACAAAGCATTTCGTTAAAGTGCTCGCAGTGATTGGCCGCTTGGTAGGCCAGATCCGTCAGGCACTCTTCATTCTCATGCACCGCCTCAGCGGGAAGAGGAAACATGACCTGGGGTTGTGTTGTGGGAGGTTCCCAGAGGATGATCTTCAGATCCTTTGGACTAGCGTGCGGTGGTGCCGAAGACTTCTTCTGTTGCTTCCGGGGGCGCCTCTCCCGCTTAGGTGGGTTCCCGTCTCTGATAGATTCCTCATCTATCTCAGAGGAAGATCGCTTCTTGCGGGCTTTCTCGGATGGCACGCAAATAGCCTTGTTGTAATGGTGTACATCGTGAAGGTGTCGCCGGTAATCCTGTTGATCGGTAGAGATGTAGCTACAGCCGGAGCACTTTGAAGGCCACAGCCTACGCTTAATATGCTCTTCCAGGTGATTTCTTAGCTCTGGAGGTGGCTTGCACAATGCTCCTCGAAATCAGGGCTCTCGGCATCGTGAAAGGAAAAGCACTCCCAATAATACTTTACCCGCGGAAAAGGGATACCCATCATACAAGATTTCTCCCGTCGAATGCAGGAATGAATATGGCTGCTTCTTTCAGGTCTCTTCAGTCTTCAATGGGTCAGTCACAAGTCCACGCAGAAATGACAGGCGAGGCTTACTCTTCCATGACTTGACTGCATCCATGAGCAGGGCATCGCCCTTCGACAGGCTCCTATCCGGGAAGATACACCACATCGTAATCCCGTTGGCAATGGATTACCAAGTCTTCCACCACAGCCCTTTTCAACTTGAACTCAAGAGGTTTATCGGAAGACATAACAGTCACCAGACGGCCCAGCTCAGGCATAATCTCGCACCAAGTCCTTTTCTCTGCGGTTTGCTCCCCGTATATTGGGCACTCTTTTCCCCTTGTTAATATGATCTGATCCCACCGCTCTCAAGCCCACTCCTTTCGAAACCGTTCAAACTTGCGTGCATAGATCCTTTTTTTCTGGGCCCGATACTCAGCGTTCAAGCGTTCACGATCACCAGCGGTCCCCGCATTATCGATCTCAGCCCTCATTTTGACGAGCAGAGCATCCGACTCAAGTTCAAGTACCTTCTGTATTGTCAACTTGCGACGAAGGCCTTGTTCATAGAATTACTCGTAGCCCTGGAAGTATTCAATGTGAGTATGATCTGTCTCCTTGCCCCTGGCGGCATTGAGCCCATCAACACCACAAAGAGAAGCAACGTAACTCTCAGCTGTTACAGACGTTGACTTATGCCTGAGCAGCTGAGAAGCGCTCTGTAACGTGTATTTCTCTGCTTGAACTATTAGTCACCATTTTCCATTAGCGTAACGAGGGCCAGGATCAATAACAAACCCTTGACGGATTCTGCTAGATGGCGGCGGTAATCGTGAATGGTGGGAGTATTAAGATAGATTTTCCGGAGGATCTGGCGGAAAGCGTCCTGGTATCGTTCCTTCGACAGTGGATCCTCGCTGACTCCTTTCGCTGTTGTGTGTCTGATAATGCACCAATCCAAAGCCTCCTCATTCCACCTAAGTGGAAGCTGATTAAGTCCTGGCGGGATCACTTGCTCGAAGAAATCCGCGGCAGACGAATAGCCAAAGAGAGCACCATCAGCGATAGCAAGAGCAAGCAGAAAAAGTGCTCCAGCATAAAGGGGCTCATCGCAGTCCCATATTGCAGCGCCGAGTCTGAGGATCCAACTGTCAGCTTCCAAAATATGAAATTGAGGAAATTATAGACGGTTTAATTTGACATACGCTGTATTGTCGGGGTCTATGTTGTTCTTCACCCAGTGCTGATTAAGCCGATATCCAATCTTCCAAGGAGCATTAACAGTACAAAACAGGACAAGTTGAATATGCTATACATGTAAGTCTCTGATACGAGGCTGCAGACATAAAGCACCCTTACCTTATAACGCAGGCCTTGTTCAGCTTTGTTCTTGGACTTAGGGCAAAGTGCGGCCACCCTTGCACCTGTGCAAAAGTACAGGAGAGTAACGAAATGGAATTGCACCCGAAACCTCCCAGACATGAAAAGTGGGTCATCATCTGCCCAATGAGTCCTCATCCCACGCTCAAAATCGCCAGGCTTGATATTATATTTCGGCTTCTCGATTGCTTTAATAAACTTATCTTTCACCAAGTCTTTCTCAATCCACTGCCAAAGTCAGACAACGCTGTATTCAACATGGGAAGGTCGGCTCACGCTGTAGAGCTCAGAGGCATCCTGTTGAGCAATGGGCTTTCCAGTTTCGAGGGCAAACCCAGGAACAAATTCTTGGGCTCGGATAAGAGTCGTCTTCATGGTCGGCCGTCCTTGGGGGTCGAGTCTGCCCTTTGTAGAATCAATGTACCATCGAAACAGTTGCTTGAGCTCCTCGAGCGTTGGGACTGGATGTTCCTTTCCGACTTTGTAGCCCTTAGGCATTCCCTTCTGCCCGACTAGGAACCTATCAAGATTATTTAAGCTGGTGTAGTTCTAATATCAGAGACGCGGATACTCACTCCTCGTACATGCGCACCCGTTTCCTGTATACCTCTTTCGTCTCCGGAGATGCTCTACTCCAGCTCCGTTGAGCATCCTTCTCTAGATAGGCATTGGGATCATAACCTCGCTGCTCACGAAGTTGACGGCGCTCCTCTCGTCTCTTCTCTTCGCGGGCAGCCTTTTGGGCAGCCTTTCGAGCATCGGAAAGGCCGGCCATACTGGAAGACTGAAACGGAGATGAAAGTGGCAACAGAGTATAGGGGCAGGGCAAGTGGAAGTACGATTAACGGAGGACCTGGAAAGTTGAAGTTTTCCCGTTGGCAAGCTTGGGAAAAATGTCATTTTATACATGCGTAACATGGGGGGCCGGGAAAACACTGGGTAATCCTCCGTTAGGTTTGATTACTTGTGGTCCATCTGAGCCTACCCCTGTATTCTGTCGTGAGACTATGATGAACAAAGTCCAGGCTAAGACGCTATGCCCCCTGGCCTTTGTGATGCCTTCATGGAAGTGATGGTGGATCTCATAGATCTCCCCAGCTTTAGGATGTATGCGGTTTAGAGAGCACAAAAGCGTCACGTGATTTCCTACATGGGTGCGAGCCTGAGCTGCTCCGGATTACTCAGGTGGCATGTCGACAGGATCAGTGAGTAATCCGGGAGCTGCCGGAGTGGTTGGTGCGTGCTCAGTGAGTGCTCAGTGAGTGTTTGATGAGTGCCCGGAGCGCTCAGGGCGCTCTCACGTGCAGCCCTCATAAAAGCGGCGGCACCCGTATCGGGCAATCGAACGGGAATTGCAGAAAAACAGTTCAGTTATAAACAACTGTGATCGTGTCTCTATCTACTTCTTAATACACGCGCCTCATATGACAGTAACTAACAAATGGGCGTAGCGTACAAGATGAACAACAACTCATTCCACTCCTTTTCGCAGCTGCCTCTAGAACTACGCCGTCTCATCTGGAAACACTGCCTCCCGCATCGTATAGCAGAAGAAGACACCCCCAACTTCCTTCTCGACGGCAACGAATGCCGTCAAGCCTGCTGGGCCAACCGCATAACGCACCAAAACGCTCAGCCGCCGGCCATCGCATTCGTCACCAGCGAGTCTCGGCAAGTCGCGCTGGAACAGGGACGCCGGTTGGAACTGGAAGAGACGACGAGCCTGGAGTCGATATGGGTGCAGCCGCGTCGGGATGTGCTGCACCTCAACTGGACGCGACTGCGCTACGTCGTCTGGGGAAAATCACGGCGTCAGAAATAATGACGTGGCCGACATTGCGTATTGCGCGGAAAGTCAAAGCAGGCTCGACATCGCCATGGCGGCGGTTTCTCTGCATATCACCAGGGAAGCGGCTCGGAGGTCTGGCCTGTTCGGGTTGTTGGGCGATGCGCCTGTTCAGATGGTGGATGTTGACGACGAGGCTCGGTTGAGGGAATTTCAAGCATTATTCAGGGAACACGCATGGGAAAAGGAACCGGCTGTGCAAACGCTCTTCGAAGCATTTACAAGTTCTCGATTCCAAACGGCCGTGGAAGCATGGAAAAGACAAGCAGAATGGACCATCCTCGCGTACATGTGGCAGTCGGCACGGGAGGAAAACCTCGACATTCTTGGGACGTACCCAGGCTCCGCTTGGGTACCGCAGCTGTCGGAGCAAGAGTTCATCAGGATGTCTCAGTATTTGCCCGATGAGAAGCATCCGTGGGTCAAGCAAGCTAGGCAGAGCGCGCCCAAGCTGGGGCCGCGGATCATGGTGCGATATTGTACCAATGAGTGTTATAGAAAGGAGCGACTTCCCAAGAACTTCGGGACTTCATAAATAGTAAGTATATACTCATAGAGAGTTTTCTTCTATATAACCCAACAGTCCATCATGCTTCTTTACACGCCTCAGCAAGATGGTCATGCATACCCTGCGTCTTGGTAATAGCCTCGACATGGCTCAATGATTGTCCCGCGCTATTCAACTTGGTGACATAGTCCCTCACCTCCTGCTCTTATGGCGGTGTTGATTCAATTCAATTGGCTAAACTCACATACTGCCTAGAACATACACATCAATGCCAAGCAGCAACAGGGTGCTTTTCCCAAATAGGGAATTAGGGATGCTATACGGAGTACTGTTTCCAGTAATTGCCGTCACCCAGGAGGATGGAGTATATGTGCTTAAGTTTTCCTGCTTACGCACTTTTACTTAACGTGTACTTCTTATATTAGCCGATTCAGCCTACATGGGAGAAACTGCAAGTTGCTGACAGGAACCCCGCAACTTGATCATGATGGATGTGGTTGGTGGACGGTTATATAGGGAGTATGACTTCTAAGAACTATTTAAGGAGATTGGGCACCCAAATACCAGCAATGCTAACTACTACGTAGGCCACAGCAAATCTATGATGGAACTACGCTCTTGTTTCTACCTTATTGCTTCACTCACAATGGCTGCCAGTGCTAACGCAAACTCCACTTATACTAACCCAATTCTCCCCGGCTGGCATTCAGATCCCAGCTGCATCTTTGTCCCCGAACAAGACAACACCTTCTTCTGTACTGTATCCACCTTCCTCACATTCCCCGGGATCCCAATCTATGCCAGCAAAGACCTTCAGAACTGGAAGCTCGTGAGCAACGCGTTCAACCGACAAAGTCAAGTCCCCCGGCTCGCCAATGAAACCTCCCAAACCCAACAAGACGGCCTCTGGGCCCCAACCCTCCGATACCGGACGGGCAAGTTCTACCTAGCCACCTCATACGTATCGATGCAACCAGCGTTCACAGCGCAGGGGCTCCTGTTCACATCGGATAACCCCTACTCGGACGACGCGTGGTCCGATCCCATGCACTTCCACCTTGGCGATATCGACCCGGACCTCTTCTGGGATGACGACGGGACAGTATATGTCTCGTATGCGGGTATCTCGCAGCAAAACCTAGATCTGAAAACCGGTGCCACCGGCCCCGCGTATAAGATTTGGTCCGGCTCCGGTGGCCGCACGCCAGAGGGACCACATATCTACAAGAAGGACGGGTGGTATTATCTTTCCATCGGCGAGGGCGGCACCGAGCTCGGGCATAGACAGACGGTTGCGCGGTCACGCAGGGTCTCTGGTCCGTATGAGGGGTACAGCGGGAACCCGCTCCTCACGAACGCGAATACAACCGAGTACTTCCAGACGGTCGGTCATGCGGATTTCTTCGAGGATGCGAATGGGAACTGGTGGGGAGCTGCGCTGGCGACCCGGTCTGGGCCTCAGTGGACGGTGTATCCGATGGGGAGGGAGCTGGTGCTGTTTCCTGTGAGGTGGGAGGAGGGTGATTGGCCGGTTGTGGATCAGGTTCGGGGTCGTATGGACGGGTGGGATTTACCGAGTGCTGGGTCATGCAAGGGGATACCCGGGGATGGGGCGTATGTTGATGCTTCGGACGATGTGCATTTCGCCCCCGGGTCGTCTATTCCGAGTCACTTCTTGTACTGGCGGTTTCCGAAAGAGGACTCGTTCGCGGTCTCGCCGCCTGGTCATCCGTTTTCTTTGCGGTTGTTGCCGTCCGAGAGTATAACAGGGAATGGGGTCCCAGGAAATGATGTCGAGTCGACGGCTATCACGTTGATTATGCGTCGGCAGAGTCATACGTACTTTGCCTACAGCGTGGACGTCTCCTTCGGGCCGCAGGTGGATGGAGAGGAAGTTGGTGTGACGGTCTTCCTGACTCAGTTTCAACATATCGACTTGGGAATCGTCCTTTTGCCTTCTGCTGAAGACTCAGATACACTCGTTCCTCATGTGAGGTTCAGGGTTACCTACCTGGGCGCGCAGGGGGTGGATATACCTGAGACCATCATTCAACCCTTGACGCAACGGCATTCATCGAGCACTGTGCAGGCAAGGTTACAGATCCAGGCAGTCAATACAACTCACTATGCTCTCTCAGCAAGGGTACTAGGAGTGGCGGAATTCAAGTTCGAGACTCATGCTGAAGCCAGGCTTGTCAGCGGGGGTACGGGGCCATTTACTGGTAAGTCTATATATAACCCTATCTTTTGATACTCGTTACTAAGGCTCAGTACAGGTGCTTTACTCGGGGTCTATGCAACGAGCAATGGTGGACTTGGTCAAACTGCATCGTATATTAGCAACTGGAAGTATCATGGTCATGGTCAATACATTGGAGGATAGATTTAGTCCTGGCGTTGCCCGGGTGCTGAAATCTGTCAAAGTATATGAATGACTATTCTATGGGTCCATTTCAGAGACTCAACTTTGATGCTTGGTGTGATAAATAATTGATCAGACGCTCAGAGATAGTAGTAGCATGAATATCAGAGATTTCCAATTTCCCAAATCCCTTGATAAGGATTTTCGTGGTCCTGGAATTGGAAAAATGGGTCATGCGTAACGTCCATGAAAGACACATCGCCTGGAAAGCCCGAACCCGACCACGCCAACGGTTCCCGTGGCAGTGGTCCTTGATTTGGTCCATGATCTGCTGAAACCGAGTTCGTACTGCTCCAAGACTCGGGCTGCGAAGTTTCAGAAGCGGCCCGATGCTGCACTGTACTCGAGTACGGCGGCAGCGCTTGACCTCCATCGGAAGTATCTACGGCCCTTGCGGAATGATGGAAGATCTCGGTCTCGACTGTCGTCTGGTCTGGATGCTTCTGCCCCGGGGACCGTAAAAGTGACGCATCAAAGAGACCGTCACCCGGAGAAGCGAATGGAGTCTTGGTAGAATTGTAGCAAAGAATGTCCCACATCAATGCCGTATCTATCGATAGCGTCCTCCGAGGTGAACGGTGATCGCCAGAATGTGGACTGACGGCAAATGCCGATTGGATGAGCCCCTGAATCTTTTGATGCTGCATGGATCTGTTAGCGGATGGAGCGAGAGCGCAGTTGATCTGGACTCACTATTGCCTGGACTCTTGGCCATTTGGTGGCCAAGCCACTCAAAAAGCTCGTGCAAGTTTCCAGCTTCCGTTGAGCGGACTCCCTCACTGTGGGATCTGCGGCACGGCAGTAATACATGAGAATGGTGGCCGCAATCGCCACTGCATGGCCGAGGAACGGGTCAGACAGTTGATATTCCTTCTCGGCAATCATGTCAATGAGGCGAACCGTCCATGTTGTGTGGATCAGCGCCAACTCCGATGATGTCTTCCAGAAAGTGTTCGGGACTGCAAGCTGGGCGGACTGCTGTGGTCGCCACGAGTAGAGGAAAGGGTGATTCAGGACGCTGTGCACTGCGTGGTAGGTGAACTGGAGGTACAGCCAGGGACTCCAGTACTCCCGGTCGCGATTCAATTCTTCTGGCGATCGCTCCTGAAACCTTACTGAATCGTATCGATGGGAGGTGGGAAACTTTGTTTCAATGTCCATCAGGTGAGCCCCGATGATACAGTAACCCGAGTCCACGGACCAGGGTGGCATGGCATCTCCGCTAGCACAGTGCGAAACATAATGCTGCACTTCGCTCCAAAGAGTGGATAGCTGCACCATGTAAACCCAGATTCCCCCTCCTGAGGTAAAGGTGCCATTTTCTTGAGGGGTCTGAGGTGGCTTCATCCCCATTTCCCGTGGAGAGTCAAGGTTGACAGCCATGTACTTCGGGTTATGGATATCCCGCAGCATATTCAATTGCATGCTGTGAGGAGCGTATTGCTGGTTAAGAAGATGGATGCTCCAGAACACCCTTCGTCGTTCCTCCAATGCAGGCGTCGATTCGCCCTCGTGCTGCTCGATGTCAATGCCTGCACATTTGGCGAGGTTTGTGGCAAGACCAATGTGTAGCCAAGCGAGACGGGTGTCATTAGCTGAGGACACATTAGTGAGGCGTCACTTGTCAGTTCAGGATGGAATCTCACCAATGTACTCGGCCAGTGCGATTAAACAGAAACATTGCAAGGTTGAAATGTCCACGGTCCCCTGAACGATTCGAATCATGACATAGCTGCGCGCGGCCTCGGCGTATTGTTGACACATCTGGTCTGTTCGTCCTTCCAGAAAGGGATTGTTGGAGTAACGCAGCGCGAGACTGAGTATGCCAAATATCACCTCGCTGCGACATCTTTCTGGAATGGAAAGATTATCCCGAACGAAAAGCCACAGCGGTTGCTTGTGGCAGTATTGGAAATAAAGAGCGATACCCTCGGCAACGATCTCTTTTGGCGGCATTGCAAAGGGCAACGTATGTGCATTCTGAAGGCCTGTCTCATCACTCGGATTCCCCCGTGCCATGGACATTTCCTGCGTATTGCTTGATTCCGATGTCTTCTCGCGAATATGGAGCCCGCGAGAGGACGACTTGGGGGTTCCAACTTGGCGACTGGGTCTGCAGCAATCAGCACTCACTCTTACCAGAACCGGGAATGACAGCCATTCGCACATTGACCCTTCTAATATTGATTCCATTTTCTCTTCAAGCTGTTGCAATCGGTTCTCCTGCTTTCGAATTAGACTGCTCACTGTTCGCTTCGCAGACAAGCCGTACCAGGACCCGGTCACTGCCTGAGGGTCTCTGCAAAGAGTCATAACTTCTGCTATACTGGCATGTCTGTTGTAGGCGTGTGCAGCTTGAACATGCCGGTCGCTCCCCCGGACATCGCGTCTTTTTCCGCCTACAAATCGATACCTTAGTCGGCAATCAACTCTCTTACAATGGTTGTTTCTTATGCCTCAGACTCACCTACAGTTTTCACAGGCTTGATGCGATCTCTTGCTAACACGATTATACATTAGGGGCACCTGCAGAAGGGCAGAGAAACCGAGGGCAACAAGAAAAGGTCACTGATATGTTACGGCGTGAAGATGCCTTTAAAGCGCAGGAGCGCGGGGTATCAGATTCTGTGATATGATAGCACGCGGAGACGATCCGATCGCCAGTTGGCAAAGTTGTGACCCACGCAGGGAAACAATGCCCATAAGAGGAAAATGCTGACATAACTCGGTGGATCTTATTCCTTTCTTTCTTTCTTATTCCTTTCTTTTTTTATCATATATCGGGTAATGTACATGAATAGAAGAATCTGGCTGCATCACCTGAGTAAATAAGGCATGCCTTCTCGAACATACCTGTGGCCAGCCCATCACCATTCATAATCCTAAGGGAGTTCTGGATGTAGGAATTATAGAACTGAAAGTATTCCATCTAGAGGCAAAGTTACTGAGACTATCAAATTAGATCACATTGGACGAATTGAAGCTACCATTCCAGTTCCGCAAATCCGTTCACTGAGCATGCTAACCCTAAGCAAAAAGCGACATCCTCTGCGGTTGCCTGGCCTGCTGAATGCTGCCGCGCCGGCCAAATCTCCCTGTTCGCCTTTCGCTCCTCGTCTCGATGACTTCTGAGTAGGGTTCTGACCGTATTCTGAAAGAACAGCGGCGCACTCTCCAGGTCAGGGTGAAGGGGACCATTGACAAACACCCCAGCATTCAGGTTCTTTTGGGCAGCATTACAAAGGTGTTTGTCCTCGTCCAGGACCCTCTTGAAGAAGGAGTCAATATATTCGAAGTCCTCATCGGATGCCTCTGTGTGCCGGTAGACCTCGTATTCCATGGAGCAAGTTCCTGCAGATGTCGGGACGCATCGCATCAGGTAGAAGAAATGAGGCCTGCGGGGGATTGATGTCAGTAAATTAGAGTTGTTGAGTTTTGATTTCTCCCCAAAGAAGGAAGCAACTCACGAGACTGTCATGCAGGCATTGGGAAAGTAGTAAGTGCTGGCGTTCTGGATATCCTCATTCACCTTATCCGGCTTCGGTCGGGAGAAATGTTGAATGTGCCCCGGTGTGGAAACGGTATAGTAATATGACAGATCAGCCAGATTCGCCACGTCGGGATGTGCAACAGTGCAATGGTAGCATTCGTTGTAGTTGTCCGCCAGTGTTTTCCAGTTATAGTCGCCGTTCATCTGCCATGTATGGTCAAACTTGTACTGGCTAAAGTCGAATCTCTGGAATCGTTCTTGTCGGTCAACGCCCTCGAAATCCTCTTCCCAGGGGACTGGGTTTGGAGATGAGTCGAGATTGACCCAGATGAAGCCCAATGCATCGGTATGCACATGCACGGGGAACAAGCTCTGATCCTCTTTCTGGAACCCCGGGACGTCATCGAACTTCGGGGCCTTGGCCAGTTTTCCGTTGAGGCCGTACGACCACCCATGGTACTTGCAAGAAAGAATCTTGACGTTGCCCTCGTCTTCAGAGACGAGGGGAAATGCGCGATGGCGGCAAATATTGTGAAAGCCGTTCAAGTTCCCCTCTCGATCAACACACAACACAAAGGAGAATCCAGCTTCCTCAAACCGAAGAAAGTCACCGGGCTTTGTGAAGCGCAACTTGTGGGTTACTAAGATCCATTTCTTTGAAAAGATCGCTCGCCGTTCCAACTCATACATCTCTGGGGAGCGGTACCAGAAAGCTGGGAGGGCTTTTGGTGGCTCATCTGGAAGCTTCTTGGCTTCCAGGACGGAGGGTTTATACCCAAACCAGGACGCAACTGTAGCAGCCATGTGATAGTTCAAAAATCTGCAGGCAATTCAACACTGAAAGAGTGTCAGCTCCCACTCAGTCGTGACGGTATATATGTCTTCGAGTTGTCCTGCCTAATCCATTCGAGGTCTCCGATCACGCGACCATGTAATGGAAACGCGATGGCAGAGGCGTGAAACACCGGGTGGAATTGTCCTGCTCGGCATGAAGCCAGCAGTTAGCACGCCGTCTTGTGTCACCTGGTCGTTGCCGTCGATGCATGGACTGGGAATTGCTTCAGCCGGTCCGTCGGCGTCGACATCCGGTCACCTGATCGTGGGCTTAGGCTCCCTGTACCCATTGGTTTGTTCTATCCGATTGATTCAACGCCTTGTTCTGCCCCAGGGCCTGAGATAACGGGGAATATCTCGGTCTCTCAAAAGAACCGTGCGTCTTCGTCAGCTGCCAACTATCCTCTCAGCTGATCTCTATGTATCTGAGTGATTAGTCGAATTCATACCGCTTATCAAGCCTAGAGGTTCAATCGGTAGAACGCTGTGTCTTTGATAGATTACGCTGCAGCTTTGATCCAGGCGCTAAAAGATGTATGGAGATATAGAGTCGTGCAGTGCTAGATCTATCTCTACAGCTAGCGCGAGCCTATTTTGGACAGTAACTGTGCGGAGGGCTCTGCTCAGCACTTTCTACAGCTCGGGCCTTTTAGTGATTGAGCTTGGTAATGGCTGTATGACCACGGAGTCCTCCGATCAGGTGCAGCTCGAAAGGAGATGATTCAAGTCCAATGGTCTGATTCCCGGCCCGTTTCCCGACTCGGAGGCTGATCTATACCTTCTGTCACAATGTATTCTTCAAGACTGCGTCACTTATAAGGAGTTATCATTACTTCAAAGCCACATGGCGGACTTTCGTTCAACAAAGCCCCTACTCTCGTGTCCTGTTCTCAGCTCATACCACCATGGGATCAATCAACGCTTCCGAGAATCCGTCAAAATTCATTTTGACAGCAGAGGCCCTGAACAATGCTCTGCCTGATATGCACATGGCCACAAGAGCCGTTCATGCCGATGACTTCGTCAGTCCTCACCGTGCCATTGCCCCTGGCATGCATACCGCGGTAAACTTCCGTTATGCACGCGATCCAGATGAGCTGGTGCCAGAGGAGAACAAGGATGTGAGAGCCCTAGCCTCACTCTCTTCTCTTTTATCCTAACGAGCCACGGCAGCCAAATGCGCCTTATGACTCCCATGTATATTCCCGCTACACAGCACCCAATTCCAATCGCCTGGAGATCTTGCTGCGCAGCCTCATGGGCGGCGAAGTGATTACGTACTCGACTGGACTCTCGGCCTTTCACGCGATGCTTGTCCTCCTCAACCCCAAGCGAATCTTCATCGGAGACGGATATCATGGGTGCCATGGTGTTTTGGACATTATCGAGAGACTGACCGGCATTCAGAAATTGGATCTGACGCAGGCCGACGAAGCCGGGCCCGGGGACATCATCCACGTCGAAACGCCTCTCAACCCTACCGGCGAGGCTCGCAATCTCGCCTACTACCGTGCCAAAGCGAGCGAGAGGGGGGCCTACTTGACCGTGGACTCTACCTTTGCTCCACCCCCGCTGCAGAACCCCTTGGACTTTGGAGCCGACATTGTGATGCATAGCGGAACGAAGTATGTGGGCGGCCATTCCGATATGCTTTGCGGTATCTTGGTCATCCATCCTGATCGAGTGGAGGAGGGATGGTTGAAAACGCTACATACGGATCGCCAATACATCGGGAGTGTCATGGGGAGCTTTGAGGGCTGGTTGGGTATCCGGTCCGCTCGCACCATGCAGCTCCGCGTGACGAGACAGGCTCGAACGGCAGAAAGGCTCGCTGCGTGGCTACAGGAGCAGCTGAAAGACCCGATGTCTCCTGTTGGAAAGGTTCTGAGCCATGTCCAACACGCCTCACTTCAGGAGGATGACTTGGAAGACGGCTGGCTCCAGAAGCAGATGCCGGGAGGCTTCGGGCCCGTTTTCGCTGTTTGGACTAGGAACCCAGAGCATGCGCGCCGACTGCCCAGCAGGATGTTTATATTTCAGCACGCAACCAGTCTTGGAGGGGTGGAAAGTTTGATGGAGTGGCGGGCGATGAGTGATGCCCGCTGCGACAACAGGTTGTTGCGGATCAGTTGCGGTATTGAAGAGTTTGATGATTTGAAGGCCGACATGCTACAAGGATTGGAGTCGCTATTACGGGACTTTCCCTGAGATAGATTGTATTTCCATCCTTTGAATCAATTTGGTCACTCTGTTATACAACGTTATACAAAGCTGAGAGACAAGCCAGAAAAGAGAGAGAGCTACTCGGTTCTTAATAGCCAATACCATTCAAAATTCCAGCAATAAAAGTACTTTCAGCTATCTCTCATCAATATTCACCGAGAAGTGGGAGGTCACCTTGATACCCCATCTTATGTCCGATCAAGTGATCGGGGAGTGGTGCGGGGAGCGGAGAATGACCGATCACCTGAGCGTATCTACAACGGGTGGATGACGGATTCAACGCCGACTGCAAGGATCGAAGAGGGGAGCGTGTAACCCATAAAGGCGGGGCCACTTCATGATACATATGGCGGGATGACACATCTTTCTTGACAGATTCCCAGGAAGAAAGAGACACAGAAATGGAACATTTCGATGTCGCAGTTGTTGGACTCGGGGTTCTTGGAAGCGGAGCAGCGTACTATGCTGCCAAAAAGGGCGCCAAAGTGATTGCATTCGAACAGTTCGAGCTGGGCCATGTGCGCGGAGCTTCCCATAATACCTCTCGCATCGTCCGCACTTCGAACTTCGCCCCGGAATACGTGGCCCTCGCCAAATCGGCCTACAAGGACTGGGCCGAGCTGGCAAAAGTCACCGGCTACGAGATGTTGACTACCACCGGCGGCGTGGTCTTCTTCGGCCCAGATTCCCCGACACCAGCCAGCGACTTCACGAGAAGTCTGGATACTCACAATATTCCGTATGAGCTGCTCGACGCCCAGGAGGTGAAGAGCCGATGGCCTCAGTTCAACATTCCCGACAGCGTGTCTACAGTGTACACAGCCGACTCGGGCATCGCCCACGCTGCTAGGACCGTCAGCACGCTGCAATCTCTGGCGCGTTCCCACGGCGCCATTTTGAAAGACAACACCGCGGTGGACCGCGTTACTCCCCAGGCCTCCGGTGGGGTCATAATCGAGACTCCAAAGGGACGATTTCAAGCAGCCAAGGTGATCCTCGCAACGGATGCGTGGATCAATAAGCTCCTTGCTCCCCTGTCCGTGCACATCCCCGTGTCTGTGATGCAGGAGCAGGTGACATACTTCAAGCCCACCGACGCAGCCGCTTTCGAGACGGACCGGTTCCCCGTATGGATCTGGCACGGGGCGAATTGTTTCTACGGATTTCCGTGCTACGGCGAGCCCACCATCAAGGCTGGCCGGGATTACTCCAACAATCTCATGACGCCGGACCAACGCACATTCGTGCACTCGCCGCAGCTGCTTGAGCAGCTGGCATCCTTTATGAACGGCTTCATCCCCGACAAGGATCGCCAACCGCTTCGCACAGTGACTTGTCAGTATACGATAACGCCCGATCGACGCTTCATCATCAGCCCGTTGGGAGATTACCCGGACATCATTGTTGGCTTGGGTGCGGCCCATGCTTTCAAGTTCGCCCCTGCTTTCGGTCGTGTTCTCGCGGAGCTGGCCGTCGATGGCCGGACGAATGAGGATATTTCGCAATGGGGGATTCCGAAAGCCGCTACTTGCAACGGCAAGCTCTGATGTGACATGTCGAATAAGATTTCCACAGTAACATACGTCTAAAGGAAGCCAACCCCCTCATTCAGGGAATCTTGGACAGCACTTTAGTATAGTTAACCCTCTTCTCTGGCCGGACTTGGTTGGACTAATTCAGTAAGGGAGTTCCTTCCAAACTAGACTAGTTAACCATCGGAGAATGGTATTCGTATTCCCACAGATTCCCATCATCGTCCACCGGCCCACACTGCCTAGCAGAGCGTAAGTGGTAAGCTTCTCCGCTAGTGACCTTGTCGAAGCCTTCCCCTTGTCTCGAAAACGTGTCTCCAAAATGCCAAGACTGTGATATGTCAGCGGAATGTTATTATCAACCAAGTTGCTTCAGAGGGCATATGCTCCTGTCATCTCGATACAAGCGACCATAATCTTTCTTGTTGATAAAAGAAAGAACGAGGGTGAGCTATGTGGGTTAGAGGAAGTAGAACATCTCCAAGCATAAGAAACATACTAGATATATCGGGAGGAGATGACATTCATGATCGGTTATGCGAGGATGACCATTGAAAGATAGGGAAGAGTGACGGTCGATAATATACGCGGCCCACCACAGCCTGAAGAGTAGCAACGGGTTGGCGGCAGGATGCAATGTACTTCCGTTCAACCTACCTTCTCTCTCCTCTCTGTCTTCCATACTCAATTCTGGTGCATCGATATGCAAATTCAACTTTTGAACAATGAAAGTGAGAAATGTGAGCGAGTACTGGAGACTAGATTCGACAGGCTTCTCGCTGGGAGCGATACTCGTTATGATGAACGCTGTCACGGCATCGTCAAACACTTGATGGCTATCGGGTAGCGTCCGTGGGTGGAAATTGCGAATCAACTCGTCGAACAAGTATTGGCGAAGCGCTATGAGCTCGTTCGAGCCGCGTCCTGGAATAACGGGGGCCTGATCGGCCCGCGGCATGAAGCATGCGACACCTATAGATGTTAGAGATTTCGTTTCAGCAGAAGTAGAGATACGTACAAATCACTGAAAGAAGTAATGTTGGTGATGTTGGCCGTGAGGTTCTCCGGTCGAGCAATCGGTATCTTCGAATAATTTGCGTATGAAACTCATGATTTGGCGACTCGTAGAAATGTTCCAACAGGCGGCAGGCTTCGAAGCGTGAAAGTCGAAGTGTGAAGCTATCAATATCAATATTTACCATATCAAGTGAGGCTAACCCATCACCAACTTGTTTGAATCGTCATCCAAGCTGAATGCTACGAGACCCTGCCGGCAGTCTAGTATCGAGTAATAGGGGGCATCCTATTGTTTTGATAATCAGATCAATCGGAACAAAGCGAAAGCTACAAGCAAGGCTTGAGGTTTCCTACATTGGCCGATCTAAGTGATATTGCCACCTTTTTCGTCGGCTTTCTCCCCCGTTTTTTGATCGAACGGCCTGATGTGCATCGGACACCGAGTCCTAGCGATTTTCCTAAGCTCGAGACGGAAGACGTGGCTAACGGAATCCCACATACTGTTGCAACGTGCACATCCCAGGGATAGAGGAATGTATTTGAGCTTGTGATGATGGCATTGATCACAAGCAAGATATGTTCCCTTTTCCATCTGGATCAATACAGGGTTCAGAGTCTTATGGGTGCAGTTTCCTGCGGTCGTAAGGTGGTTCAGTCGATGACAATGCGCTGCTTGAAACTTGTGAATCGCGTTCCAACTTTACATCTCAATGAGGACTAAACAGGAGAAGAACTTCCAGGACGATGATTTGGTCCAAACCAGACGGCAAGGCCGAAGGATTGTCTTTTGGGAATTGTGGGGATAAACTTTGGGGGGAGGATCGAGGATATTTCCGACTCCCGAAATTCGATACCTAGGCAAAAATGTTTGTCGCACGCTGAAAGAAGGAAGACCAAAAGCGGAGAAAAAGGTGAGATAGAGCGAGAAAGAGGACTCCCCTTGAGAAGGTCAGAACGCAGTGCTGGGAGCCAGGCAGAGATCAGGAGGTAAGAAAAAAAGGAAAGAGGAAAGAGAAAAGAGAAAACAAAAAATGGACTCGCGGGGAATCGAACCCCGGACCACCCCCATGCTAAGGGGGTATTATACCACTAAACCACAAGCCCATTTGTTGAAGTATCTCTCATATTATTCGCTATAGAACCCAAATTATCCAGTCCCTACTGTCGGTTCTACCGGATGTTCATCCATCTAGGTTCTGTATGAAAAAAAAGAAATGAGGGATGAAGATTGCAACATATAGTTGGAATTGTGCCCATAAGTCATTTAAGAAGTGTATCACCATTTCGAGCGAAGCTGGCAGTGTCCTGTTGTTTGATAGTCATGAAAATATATATCATCTATCCTAGTTTTGGTCAGGGCACGCGAATTATCCCTCCCCTTCAACACACCAGTGTTTTATGGTATTTCACACATCTGGAAGGATTATCATGGGAGCACAAGCACTAAACTCGGCAACAATGACTGATAGCTGTCAATCTCCAACGCTCTTGGTATTGCACCAGCACGAGGAATGAATTTGTGGTAGAGAGACAGATGGGTTTCTGGCAGTCGAAAGATCACATCCAATCATTGTTTCCTCCATTGAGTCCATAATTGGTTCGATTGATTGTCAACACACGAGCCCTGTGCACCAAGAGCAGGTTGGTGAGCTCAGGATTATTAGACCGCATGGCTATCCGCAGGCCTGTAGCACCATCAGGCCCAGCGGCATCCGCACCATAATCAAGGAGAAGACGAGTCATAGCCACCCACCATTTCATCTCTAACGTCTTTCGGATATGGAGCCACTAGCATACTGGCCTCTCGAGGGATGGCGAAGCGCCGAGGACCGTGTCACAACCAGATGCATTTACTTGGCTCCGCAGCCCGCGCGAGGAGTCCTATGTTACCGCAATCAACCATCTTCGGATCGGCCCCAGCTTGAAGGAGAAGTTTCGCGGTGGAGTAATGACCATTGATCACTGCATTACCTAGCGGGATTGTATCTTCACTCCGGAAATTCACATCAGCACCTTCTGCCAACAGCAAGTGAATTAGCTCTTCATTGCCATAGTGGGCAGCAGTCCAGAGCGCTTGTCCGAGCTCTCGAAGCTGCCGGCCAGGGTCAAGAAGATGTCGATGCTCAGCATCCCACGGCAGGAGCTGAACAACCTCTACATGGCCGCCGCATACCGCGGCAACCAGAGCTGTGTAACCCTCACGGGCATACCAGGGATTCACCCCTCTCTGCAGAAAAAATTGCAATATGGGGATATGGCCGTATATGATAGCTCGATTCAGCGGCAACTCATAATCTTGGTCCTTTAATCTCTCGCTCATGCCACCTCGGCCCAAAAAGATCTCGACAATGTCTAAATGACCGTGTCGTATCGCAGTTATGATTGGATGTCGTCTATCTTTCTTGCCTAGCTACCGTGATTTTAATGTATGCAGTAATTGTGATCAAAACCATTCATGGTAGATGCTCAATTATCTACATGACTGCCTGGCAGAGCGGCCGCCAGCTGCAAGCGGAGATAGTGTAGCACTTCCTACACGGTGGATAGCCATTCCTTCCACTCTGATAGGGAAGCAAGGCCTCGAATAAACCGACGGGCGAATGAAGGAGGATACAGCGTATGGCATAGGTTGCACGTCGCAGAATCGTGGGGTGGCTCCCAATCCACTGGCAGGCCATTGCCAAAGCGCCGGAAAAATTCACAGTAAGAACGCGGCGCCAGCAAATGCGTGCTCCACAACAAGATGAGAGGATCCATCAAATCCGTTTTGGCGACAGCAGGACGCCGTGATGATAATCCCTTGCTTTGCACTCGCAGGAAATCAACGTATCGGGTCTCGATCCGCGACAAGTGTAAATCGGACTCGGACCAATCCACATTCTGCATCGTTGATGCCGACTTTGACACCCTCATTACAGCGGCATACAGATCACAGGAAGAATTTCCCACATATTGATAGTGCTCAAAGATATCATGAAGCATGGGTAAAGATTGACTCCCAACTGCCTCGGTACTGGCTTCGATTATCTGAGTCATATTTGGGAAAAGATTGGTCGGGCGCGTCTCCTCCAGCAACAATTTTCCTAAAAACTGTTTCACGAACTCATTTGTCGCATTGTTGGGAGTCAAAGTGCCATGACCATCCTCGACACTCCAGCACGTCCCGGGCAATGGGATATTTTTCCCCGACAGTAGGTGTAAATCCCGACGGAGCTTCTGAACAAGAAGAGCGTCTCTTCGTATGATAAACTTGCACGATTGGCACAATTGTACAAACCCATTATCTGCGAGGCCTTTTCCGCGCCGCGTCGTCCACGGCACAACGGTTTGTTTTTGACATCGGAAGCATTCGATAGAAAGATTCTCCGAGTCCCTAAGATTGTCCCATGCCAACTTTGTCATATTTTCGAAGTGCAGCCTGCAGGACTCGGGACACGAATACGTGAGGCTATCCTGATCGATACATCGTGAGGCCAGCTGAAGGGGGAATCCTTCGTTCCATAGTGCCATCTTTTGATGTCGAAAACAATCCTCCCCGAAGGCTTTATTATGTAGTGTCAATGCATGGAGGACCATCAGAACATCTGTCCCCAGTCAGTTTCTTTCGATGCCGAGTTGCAAAATGCCTACCTAATGGAGGCATCTGATCCATTGTCCATGCCCATCCGCCATGCTGCCCGTACGGCTTTTCCGATAATTGACTTGATTCAAGCCCTGGCGTGCCTAGGGCTGGTAAATGAGTCCACCAAACGGAAAATCGATGGATAGCCCGTGAGACATAGATTGACCATCGACGTTCCTCCACCGTGGACTGTCGGGCTATCGGGTCTAGTTCAGTTTTAATTTCGTGGACATACTCGGTCTTGAATAGACCTTTCGTTTTTGAGACCGTCTGCTTCAAGTTCAAGAAACATCGGAGCAGTTGCTTATGTTGCCGGCATTCCTGCGCAGACACGATGGGTGCCGCCTTTTGCAGCAATGGTGTGGCCTCGGAGGATTCCTCGGCCTCAACCATGATGCCTCTGCGTTATGGTCGCGAGACAGAAGAGCAGGGTTTGAAGGTGTGAACGAGTTCCCAGGACAAGGCTCCGCCACCAAGATCGATCATGTCCCATCTGTATTGTTACATCAATCGGTGTTTCATTTTCCCGCAGGACTCTAGCATGATGATTATCAGCCTATCACGGTTCGCGTAAATGATTCCTGGGCGTGCAGTACTATGACGACATCTGTCTCTTTGCATTCAACTACTGCACGTCTCGCTCAGTTCATCCTCACAAGGCTATTCGAATGGAGACCACGACTGAGTATTATTGCCCGATACCGCGGCCTATGTTTGCTGATCTCGACTATCAAGGTTAGTTTCACCCACTTTTCTATCACATACTAGCCTAATTAGCTACGGCGCAACTGATTCACAGTTTTGGCGTTCAGTTTTATGAAATGTGTCAATGCTCATGGCTGATCGGTTCAACTGGATAGGGGAGTTCCGATTTCGAGACCATATCATGATATCATACAGCCCTAGTCTATCAAACAGCTCAAGTCTCTGTGGAGTACACTGCCCACAAGTTACTTGTTCAAGTGGGTCGTCTATACTAACCGTCTTAGGCCTTAGCTGTTTGGTCAAGTAGATGTATTAAAAAATCAAAAAATGCCTAATGTGAGACTGTGATGCGTTTCCAGCTGTTATATGACCATCTCGTCGCTGGCGCCGAGTGGCCCACTTGGACAATCATCTTGTGGGCAGTGTAGACGTGCTGAACGTGCATGGATTACTACCTGTTAAATGCATGATGCCAATTTATGTAGACCTTTGGAGACATTGCTCCACCAACACGTGGCAAAAAAAAAAAAAAAAAAAAAAACAGCGCGTAGCAAGGGCTTTCGGTGATGGGTGACATCACAGTTGGATCTCATGACCTCTGGTGCTATATCCAATCTTTACAGTATGCCGATTGAGGCTCATGATTTTGTGCATATACGCTCGCGACTACACAAAGATTGCCCAGACTGGACAGAGTTCATGCCAGAGGTAGCTCGCAAGAAGTCCGCTATACCAACCAAAAAAAATCCATATTGGCCTGCGGGCCAGTAAAGGAAGGTATACCGACTCCACGAGCGCGGATATTCCTCTTCCGATTGCCAGGACACTGCATTTCTAACACAATACATTTGCAAAGTCCCTACCTACAGGGGGTGCAAGTAGGCGTGGTACTTTCCACTATTCTTTTGCCGGTTTTTTTGATTGATCAATATACATGAGCATATCAATTTGACCAATCAACAGCCTACCTATTTAGGCGGCGAAGAAAACAGAAAGTTTTCGACTGACCGCCCAATGTACCTTTTCTACCCCCTGTAGATAAGCCTTGGCCGTGGATCCGAACAAGGCTGCTTCACGCCATCTATTCACTATGCATTTACGGTCTGCGCTAGTAAGTTGACCATTGTCATGCGTTTAGGCTTGAAATTGATGATCTTTGCTGTTCCTTTCGGCCTCGCAGGTCCCAACACTCGCATCGTCATCTGTGTGGCCGCGTTTTATGTGAAAGGTTCCGTCACAAGGATCATAACAGGTTGACAATCGTCTCTCATGTGGGGCGGTGATTAGAACAACATGGATCAGAACAGCTCCGATGCTTGCGATAGAATATACTGGCATGCTCCTGTCTACACGCCAGGTTGGTAAATAACGGGGGAGTTGGAGAACTTCGTTCCAGGTCGTCAAGATATACCATTGGCTTCTGAACACTCGACGCTGGGCCTGTCTTCCTGACCGAATGAAATATTGTGACAAGAAGCAGTTATGCCCCACGAGCGTTACATCGGGCTGCAGGAGATATGTGCATATCCCAAATTGGTCATTTTGAAGGCTGCGAAATCGCACGAGCAGGGCTCAATTCCTGCCTTCACCTGAGAATGCAATCAGAGAAGACTGCGCCGTGGGCGATCAAAGTCGCAGTCGAATCCGGGCTCGAGACATAAATTGGGCATCCTCCCCCGAGGAAGATTTTCCCCAAGTATCAGAATAATCATAGCTCTCTTTGTGTATCGCAATCTCTACAAACCTTGACAGAATGGTCCGAATCAGTCTTTTTGGGACGCCTCTGTCTCCCATACTTGCCCTTGCTCTTGCAACTTGCGCCGTTGCCGTCGTTGATAAATGGACCCCAGAGAGCTTCAACTGGAGTGCCCTGGACACAGGCCCACGGGAAAACTGGAAGGGTCTCTATCTGAACCACAATGGCACTGCGGCACACATTCGCGAGCTAGCAGTGACCACCGGCGTCGATGTGAGAACAACGGCGGATGGGGCCACTGTATTGGTGGCCCCTTGGGCCATTGGCCTAGCATGGCATGCCTTCAACCTTGCTCTCACTGGTGCCGGCCTGGCAAGTACAATCAAGACCTGCGCACAAAACGAGGGCCAGGCCGACAATATCTTCTATTGCGTCACTGGACTTCTCAGCACCATCATTGGCGTGGGTGGTGAGGTATCCGCAGCCAAGAAGTTCGCTCAGTCCAAAGGATATTTGGGGGTTGCCGCGAACGCCTGGATGCAGTCTGGTCTCGAACGGATTGACCTGCACGAATTTGCGCGGGACCTGGACAGTCTGCCCGCACTGAATATGACTTCACAAAAAGCCCACAACTACTTCGTTCACAACGCTTTGCGCAGCTTGTCGACGGATGAAGTGGACTTCGTCGGGTACGCGCCCGATTCTCATAAGTTGGCCCGTCGTGGCTCGAGCGTCCATCCCTTTGCGCCAATGTTCCGCTTCAACCACCACAAGTATGGTCCCATGGAGCTCACTTCTCGTGATACGGGCGAAAGTGGTGTGCACTTTACCATCTCGTACGCGGGTCATCCCACCCACCACGCGACCCAGGCGAAGCGCGACGAGTTTTACAAACATGAGCGGCTTAGCGAGCACCTGATGGAGGGTCGGTTTGATTCGGAGGCCTCCAGTGCCGATCCGGGTGACATTTCCTTCAATGGGGCCGACGCCTTTGGCCAAATCGAAAGGCAAGTTGAGTGTTTTGCAGGCACACAGTGGGATGAGGGTAATGTGCTTTCCGTCCAGATGTATGATCAAGCCAACCGTGCTACGTTCGGGTATGCTTCTATTGGTATTTTCCCAGACAGCAGTGTCGACTCTGGACTTCAGGACTTTGGGCCTCGAGGAATGCCTTTGACTGGCGGCCAGAATTGTTGAATTCGGTTCTTTGAGTCAATCGGGTAATTTGAAGTACTGGCTCTCAAGATCTACAGCCGTATTGAAATCCCGTGAAAGTACAACCGAGCAATGAGAAAATCGTTTAGTAAAAGAGTTTTTTACAATAGCAGACCATAAGACAAATTCCTCATGCTGTGCCAGCTGGATCAGACCACCATTGAAGGGCGCGGTTGATGAAACACTGTAGCAATTGCCATGGCCTATACCCCATCTTCTACAGTTACCTGGACTATGTTCGATTTCAAGAACGAATCCATCCATTCAAAAGACGTAAAAAAGGCTCTGTTATGGACATAACCCCTACATGCTCCCCTATTGACCACTCTATGGCCATGATCGACGAACGCCAAGATAACCTTATTCTCAGCCGCAACCGGGTCCCGTGATACCTCGGCATGTGGAGGAAAAGTAACTATGTCAGTAGTTATACGTATCCCAATCGGGAAGGAGCTAGAGCTAAGTCGGCCACACTAGCCCCGTTTGGGAGATATGCAGACATGTGCCGTCTATAAACATGGACTCCATGCACGACACCATTACCATTTAAACCAACAATCTTAGTCTGGGGCCTACGTGCATTACGAATGCTTCTCTTATCACTGTCAGAAAAAGATGCTCATCCCCGCTATTCTCTTGCTAGTCACTTACGTCTTCTTCATAAATATTAATAAATTATCCCGAGACCAAAGTCCCTCGAGTTTGACAACCATGACATCACAACTAGACGACGAGTCATATGAGGACTGCCCCCCACAGACACAGTCATCTCAAACATCCTTTGGTGTCGGGCCAGGAGCTACAGTGTATGGATGGCCGAGTAAAGGAGGCCTGTATGTCTTTGAGGCCTGTATCGCCATTGAACTTGACTTCCTCCAGCTTGACCGCTTCAACACTACGCTTAGGTCTCAGGATCCCGCAGAGGAGGACGCGCATTGCGCTAATATGCGTAAGCTAAGACCTGGGGCTTCGTCATCTACCGTTGCACCTACAAAAATGACTCTGACTGGGAGGAGTTCATGCGCCGCTTCCTTTACCATGTTAAAGACAAGCTAGAGTTCTATAATGGCTTAGACCTGCTCAAGAGCTTTGCACCAACTGTCCTTGAAAACCAGTTACTTTTTGACGGCGCCAGTACATCAGTCGTCCGGGGGCATTTCAAGCAGTGGGTGGTCACTGCATGCCAGCAAGAAGAGGGCATTCCACCTAAGAGACTAGAATACGCACAATCAGGGCGGTATAGATTCTGTCTTATGGTTAATGAGGAGGCGTTGCAGTCAGTCTTAAACGCTCCACCTGTAGAGCGTGTTAACGGTACTGATTTTGTGATTCTGGTTAATGGGATGTGGGTGCCAGAAATGATGGATGAAGCTGAGATAGCACTGTATGATGACTGCCCGTCACTAAGTGATGATTATGACCCTGTCGAGGGCTGCACTCTGCATGATGTGGGATGGATGAAAGTCTTCTATGATGGCGCTGAGATAGACGGCTGGGCTGATCTTTGCGATGTTCAAGACTGGCAGCTGCATTATTATCGTCCTCCTGACATTGGCTTCAGGTTATGTGGTTGGTTGGTCGCCACTGTGAGGTCCAGCCCGAGGCTCGGAAGAACGAAGGATGTATTCACTTAAGAACTAGACTATCGTGCTATGGTACTCACTGATATTTGCCTAGTGGAATGATATGACGCTGTGGTGACCCATTCCCTGTCGATTGAAATACCAGCCTCATAGCAGCCCTCATTTTCCGCACATGGTTTGAAGATGAACAGGATAGGTGGAAGGCCGTTTGAATTGACGACGAGGTGACGAGCCTATTTACCTGAGGAAATCGTTCAACGTGCAACAAAAGGGCCACCTACCCGCATCTAGTCTCGGCCATTTATATATTTGAGTCAACGGAGAACGAGCCAGCAACACAGACTCGACCCGGGTTGGACCAACTATTTGGACTGTCCTTAATGATGTATTCTGCAGGCATCACCAGCCACTGAAGCACATCCATCCTACAATTGCCGGGGCCGCACTAGTCCACTCAATAGGGATTATTGCTCATTATATGATTCGAAACTACCGGACCCCGTACTTAATGGACGGCGCAGAACTTTACATAATCCAATTCCAGGCTGTAACACGCACGTGCCCCTCCAGACGCCTAAAGCAAAGCAACAGCACCAATCGCGGCCCCAGCGACAGCTATGAGCGAGCCGTCCAGCATGTGACCCTTATTATTGGTCGGGCTTGGCTGGGCAGCAGTGCCACTTGTGCTAGGCGTGCCATTGCTTTGAGTCGCGGAATTTGACGATTGACTTGGAGGCAGGGTGGTTGAAGGCGTGGTGCTGCTTCCAGTAACTTGTGTCGATGCACTCATGGTTGTCGTAGGGGAAGAAGGGGTGCTTTTGCCCGTCGCGGCGGTGTCCGTTGTCGATTCAGCAGAGCTGACGGTGGCAGTAGTTGATGTCGCAGAAGCCGAGGGCGTCCAGCAGGAGAGATATGAAGTTGTGGGAACAGCTGTGCCGGTGTAGCCGGCGCATCCAGGGACGTTGGTCTTGGGAGGAGCTCGGCCACCTCCACAGTCAAGTGGATCGCAGACTTCGCCTGTGTTTGGGTCGAACCAGTGGACAATGCCATCATCGCAGGTGGTGAAGCTGTGGGTGGAACAGCCGGCGAAGACGACCTCTGCTAGCACCAGCAGAGGGACCACTGTGGAAAGGGTGGATTTGAGCATTTCGATATTGGTACTGCGTATGCCGTGTAGCGGCAGAATACTCCGTATAAACAACCCACAGAACTAATTGATATTCAGATAGTTGAAAGTTGGGCAATGAAAGTGTGAAAGACACTAGAACTTATATGCATTGAAAAAGCCTTGAAGAATTAGGTGAGTCAATAAAAGACCTAGAGAATGAGGGGAAATTGCAGGGTCGTATTACAGGAAATTAGGGTCTTCAGTTGCTGCAACCCCAGTCAGGGGCTAGCCAATAGCGTTGAATAGAGTTGCTATAATTAGTTGCAATAATAGAACCAGCAGGGTCGCCTGAAACCAAAGACATAAGCTTTGGTCACCTGTGAATCCACATTCCACAATAGCCATACAAGCCTTCAGGATCTAGGGAAAAAGGGGCCAGACAGGCCACCAACCGAAGATCCACTGGCATGGATCAAGTCCCATGCAGGAGGCCTTAAGGACTGATTCCTGCAAGTTGCGAGTTGCGACCAGACCTAACGAGGCTGGACAGAAGTCAGTCAGTTTAGTGAATGGCGATCATTGCCAATATTGACTTACCGTGGCTGATTTTCGCTGCAACCCCAAATATCCCCCAGAATACTCCGTATGCCGTCCGTCGCGGGCACCTTTGTAGGGTTGGTAGAAAACATCGCCCATGCTCTCGGCCATCCAGATCGCGAAGCACTTGGCGCCAGTCCTCAAGCCGGCCTTCCAATCTGCTACCTGGTCGTATTTGTGCTCTTTACCCCGATATGAAACAGGAAGCACCCGAAACCCCTCAGCCGCTGCCAAGGCCACGTCCACGAGCGTCCCTGGCAGGTAGTTGGTACAAGCTTCTGGGAAGCTTGCATTGTGGCCAGCGCCATAGCCTTGGCTCGACCTTTTACCTTGAAGTTGGGCTCGACAGGTTCGATACTGCTTGCCGCCCTTTCGGCATTTCCTCGCGGCCGGCAGATTTGGTAAGAGGTCTTGCAGAAGATGCCTGTGGAAAGGGGCCACCGCTGCTTTCACCCCGGTTTCGCGTTTAATCCTGGCAGAGATGTGGTGAGCTGCTTTGACCGCCCGAGCAGTGAGACAGTATTGTATTGCCTTAACGAGACGCTGAGCGTCTAGAGTCCCATGCGAAATGGGCCTTGGGCCGGCTGCAACCGCAGCAACCATCTCCCCAAAATGGCTGGCTACGTGGTGTTCACGTCATCACACTGGGAATATACCAGCTACGCGCGATGGTCGCCATGAACTTTGTCTTCAGCTTTTTCTAAAGCTTTGTTGGTATCCTTTCCTGGGTGAACCCGGCCGAGATCTTCCCCGTCGATATTCGGGATTATCAACCTGATATTTGCGCAAATCTTTGCCTAGAGCCTTGTCGGATATTGGCTTCCCGTACTTCTATGTTTTAGGTATTCGTGGTCAATCTCGTCGCCATGGTTAGTTACATATTTCTCTGCCTCGAGACCAAGGGCAAGACGCTTGAAAAGATGGACATATTTGGTGATATTTTGCGCCTTTAGACTTAGACAAGAAGATGGGTCTGGAGGCCACGATGGTTGAAAATGCTGGCAAGGTCTAATGATGACTTCGCGACCAATATATATGAGTGAGATCAAGCCATGATTCTAGTGTATAAAGACGAATGTGATTGAACATGAATACCTCTATGACTTGAGCCATGCCTATTTGAAACCTTCCTACCGAGGCATCAACACTGAATATAAAGCCAATGTTTGAACGATCCCAGTGACTCACACGGCTCGAACCTCAGCATACTCTCGTTTCAGAGTCATACTGTCAAGAAGGAGCCTGGACCTCGTTACTCTCAGACCGAACTTGCTTCGCGGAATCACCGGCATTCAAATTCTTTGTATTATCCAGGTGACACGTCTTTCTCACTCCAGCAGCCAACCTGCATTGAAGAATACCAAATCTAGACCGTTCTTATCCTCCGTCTATCTTCATCACTGTCGCATCTGGATTGGGCCCTGCCATCAATCGACCATCTCGACGCTTCGTCATTGAGGAAGAGTCCTCCGATTCATCTGGTTCAGCACTCGAATATGTTCCTCCTTTAGCGCCTTGAACTCGGCATCCAATTGATTGTGCCAAGGGTATAGAACGAAGACCTGGAACGCGAGCGCCGAGGACGCGACTGCGAAGTTGACAAGGGAGATTCCGCGTGTGACGATCATGGTTGCTGACTGGCGGTCAGTCTTGAGTCGAATAGATGCCAGTATATCAAGCATGAATGGGCTACTCACCGCAGGATGAGGTCAGAGAAACCGATATGGTCTATGATGGCGGGTAAGAGTCAATGAAAGGGAAGAGGGAGGGAGAGTCTTTATAATCCGGGTGAATGGGGCATCTGGATTTGCCCCTTTCACGTGTGGATGTCCCCACTGTTCGAGAATAGACTACTGGCTCTGATAATGCCTACCACAGCACGATGGTTATTACTCATCCGAGGTAAAGAAGTAATGCCCTCTTTTTCATGGTTATACTTCACAGTCTTCCGTAGCAAATTGGCGGCTAACTGTTTTGTCCTTCGGCTCCTGGCCTCTTGCAAAAATCGATGCCAACTACGCTTCTCACCTGCCAAACCATGTAACTGTGAACATTGTATTTGCTGCCTGATCTGTTAGACCTAAGATGACGAACAACTGTCGAGGCCAGGGACGTCGCTGGGGGATTTCAAGAAGGTGGAGCCCGGAGATGGTTCGTATCTGTCGGATCCGACAGATAAAGGTCTACTGTTAGGAATTAGATTACTAACCAGCTCTGCCTAAGGCCATGATGGCCAAGCTTTCTCCCCAACTTAGCGCATATAAAAATTATTAATATCTAGAATACTATATTCTCATTAAAAACTAAGAGTTTTTCATGGCTAAGGGTAGTTAAATCGAATGTTTTTATAATGGTTCATGCCTACGGCCCCGACAATCCAATACGCGGACTATACTTGCAATACATGTTTGGGGCCCTGTTGGTTGTTGAGAACCGAAGCGGGAATCAAAATGTGATATTTTTGGCGTTTGCTTGTCCATATTTTCATGATTTGTGGTTACTTCACGACCTTGCTGATGAAACTGGCTTTTAAATCTCATCAATGTAAATGCATCCTTCAGAAAATTGGTGCATGCTACTCAGTAATCATTCCATGTTCACACATGATTCAGGATCACCCACAAATCAAGAACAAATACCTCAGAACGGTTACTGCCGCGAAACGGTCGTCTCGAAATCCTCTGGTTCCCTTCCCAACAGCTCTTTCAACAGGGGGTCCACGTATGCGGCTTCACCCCGACGAAAGGCCTCGAAAGTCGAGGTCCACACCTTCGAATGATCCACCCCGTGGTAGGTAAAATTCTCTTTGTTCTGCGGCAGGGCAGCAAACTCGTCCTCAGTGATCGTCTGAATCCGCACTGGCCGCTTCGCTACCTTGCCCAAGATCTCCACGGTTTCTTTCAAGGTCAGTGTCTTGCCTCCGGAGAGCAAGACAGTCTGGTGACGGTACATGAAGCCGTTGGGGTCCTTCCTAAATCGCGCCATGAGCTCGGCGGTGCCCTCGCCCAGCTCCTCGCGCTTGACCCAGGCAATCCCCGGGCCGGAGCCGTCGTGGGGAATCTTAACCGTGTCCACGGGGCGCGTGGGGTCGAAGAAGGAGGTGTAGAGCGGGTAGGACTCGGAGTAGAGACCCTCGCGGACGACGGTGTACTCGAACCCGGGGTGACGGCGGGTGCATTCATCAAGATACCGTTCGGTATCCAAATGGGCCTGCATTACATGGGCGACGGACTGTTTGTTTTCAGGCCGGCCGCCGTATCCTAAGGATCCGTAGAAGATGTATTTGACTCCGCTGCGAATGGCCGCGTCGATAGCCACTTGGTGACGCTGTGCATTGGAATTCCTTCCATTAGCAGGTGGAGACGGAAGACAGTTTGAAACTGATAACGAGACCTACGACTTACCTTGGTCCGGTATTCATGTTCGACGGAAGCGTACGAGATCAAGAAGAGGGTTTGGACTCCATCAAAGGCGTGCTCGAGGCTGCTATCGTCGTCGTAATCTGCCTTGCGGACCGTTGCTCCCGCATTGGAGGCGGCCTCCAACTTCAGAGGATAGCGAGTGATGAACACCAGATCCTTTGCTTGGAGACGAGGGAGAAGATGCTTGACGGTGCTGCCTCCGATACCTCCAGAGGCGGGAAAGACTGCAATGGTGTGATTCGACATGGCGTCAACTGCTTGTGCAAGGAATAATCACGTTTCTCTGTTGCCTGTGTGGAAGATTGGAGTGAACGACGAGATTGCCAGCTAAGAGCGAGGCCAAAGACCCTTTTCTGAACTCAGTAGCCGGTCAAACTCTGCACCGAACCGGAACGATTCATAAGTGCCTCATGTTTTTGGATTTGTCACCGGCTATCTTTGGGTTAGAGCTTTGGATCGTAGTGACGTAATCGCCATGCGGTGCTTGAATGAGGGTTCTAGAATGTCTCTGGGCATGTCTGCGAGGAGCAGAAAGTCGACTTTACTGGCCAACTCTCGGTTTCAAAAGACCCTTGCCAGCACCACAAAAATGGACACTCAGGTCAAAAGAAGATGCTCCCTGAGCTTTTCGTGCCTTTAATCCGATTCTGCCGGCATGAAGTCTCCACTCCAATCTTCAGCTTACATTCCGATAATCCGATTGGCCCACCGGAAGGCAGGTTTCTTTCGGATTTTGCGACTTTTGTCCACCGGATCGCATACAAGTGGCCGAGTTCCGAAAGAGTTCAAGAGCATATCAAAAGAATCTTTTGAATCATCAAGCACAAAGCAATGCTAGTCGTCTTTTCGATAGCGTTCTCTAGAATGAGAGGGTGGAAGAAGCCTTCTTGGCTGGAGTTACGCTTATGTCCAGGGTGAATTAGAGCAGTATAACGCCTTTTAATTCAATCTTGACTTCTTAGATGAGGCAACTGCTCTGAAAGTCTTCAATACATGAAGGATTTCCCAAAGCCACGGCATCCCAAACAATATTGAGCAAGTGATTTTGACTTTGTCTTTCACATCCTTTATTCTCTAGAACAAGCCTTACCCTGCTGGTGTTATGCGAACCTGGTAAATCAACGGATTGGGCTAACACGCAGCCGGAGACCAAAACAAATCCTAGGTTCTACTCGAGAATTACCAGACTATCTCAATCTCCTCGAGGTCCAGGTACACAAGTACAAGTATGCCTTGATAATCCTATTCTCTCTAGGGAGGTAAGTGAGGGACATTGCTAACACCTCAACTGCTCTATAAACAGGCAGGTAGAAAATCACAATTGCTTGCCTGTTTGATTAGTGGAGGGATATGCAAGATGTCACTGTCTTCACATTGCTTCATATGCATGAATGCATGGGATTAAAGACTTCCAAGCACTGATTTTCACGCTAATGCATGAGACAAGAGTGTTTAGCAAACAACCACGATACTTCCTGCATGCCTGAATAAGGCATCTAATTGAATCAAGCTGGGATTGAACACCCGTCTAATTGTCTTGAACTTGAGGTGGTACAGTCTTGTATTGCCCAATATATTCAAATCTGGACTGCATATATCACCATATAGCAGGAGGAACACATCCATAAATTACAACCAATGTTCATTGATGAGCTTTGTCTATTCCCAGGAACAGGATGTTTTGTCATGACCAGGCAAGAGACGCACTTTGGATCACATACATCTGCATTGAACTAGATGAGAAATAGCCACATTACCATCTATGCAAACAAGGATTGTAAGGAAGGGTCCGATTATTGGACAATGAATTTTGAATTTAGTTTACCCTGCATCCAAGCAAGCTCTTTCATGTGGCTAGGTTTCAGTAGCCCTCAGTTCCTCACCTACTCTGTTGTTGAACGGTCAGTCCAACTTGAATCAAGTTTGACGATCTAACATTCAAAAGACACATTTGGATTGTCAGGCAATAATCAAAATCTCATCCGCTCACTGATATCTTGAACTGGGTTCCAGTGAAACCTACGTGCAGACGCTCAAGAACATTCATATGTGATAGTGGAGGAAGCCAAGTCCCATTTGGCGAGTGCTTCAGTCTTCTGCAAACGCCTAAAGAAGTCTCAACCATGGAAGATTGCAGAAAAATCGAGGATTTACCCATTTCTGACCACTCTCGAGCTATTTGCTACTTATTTAGAGTAACTATTTTGTGGTTAACCAGCCTATAAGCACCAGTGGATATGGTGGCTGGTCGTCAAGTTAGTACTGATAACACAGACAAAGAACTGGGGATTAGTTCATCGTAATGGGTAAGAGAAAGGAACGCAAAGGCAAACTTTCGAGAATGCTTGAAAATTATCGGCAAGCAAGGGAGATTGATCGACTTGATTGTCCTCTAAGAAATTGTGTATGATCTGTCAACTTTGTCTTTCCTTGGTATCTAAACCTTAAGTTCTGGTGAGTACAGCACTTGCTTGGTACATTAGCTTCTTGGAAAATGAGAGATTGGATCAATTAACTTAAAGGCAAACATACTTATTGTAAGGTCAAATGAGATCAAGAGAAATGGCAAAAAGATATTCAAGCTGGCGATGTATCCAGGTAGATCAGTAAACAAAATAGGATGGGAAGTATGATCTATCACATTCACGAAATGATTGATCCACCCACAGCAATTGATCCTTGCTCCAACCTTATCGGAGAAGGTTCAGGCCTTCTTGATTTGTTTAGACAAGGCTGTAAGCTCCAGCAAGGGCAAGCCAGTAGACTGGTAGTAGTAAGATGCACAGACTGGCAGCGATTTCGATCCACATTCGGGTAAACACACCCACACTTGCAGCATTTGGTACCTGTCAACCATGAGTCGCATCAACAAAGACCCGAGTACTATTTATGCTTTGCGCTCAGTCGTTTGATTGTTGTAGTGATCAACATCAGATCTTTTCCCACAAACTATTGCAACAGTTTCGAAGGCCCCTAGATTGCGAAAACGGCACACTTCGGCCTGCTAGATGGGTGCCACATCGGCCACCCGCAATCTATGGACTGGTTTATATCGCAAGCATGGTTTTAGCGTGTCAATAATGTGATGTATGAGCGACCAAATATTGAATCTTTTGGGCCTGTGCAATGTTTAATAGAGAAAGAAAGGAGAATGTGACAGATCTGACAGCGACGACAGTCGCGTATTCTGTCCAGGAAACATTAATATGCAGCACCGTTTCCATCATCGAGCTGACTCTGGTGATTCCAAATACTTGCAGCCACCTTGCTCGTTCTTCAACGGTTCTTTCATCCAAGCCCTCGTTTCTTTCCTTTATCGCTTTTGCAGAACATTCGGCCAGATCGCTCGTCATGCCACTCGATCAGGTATCCGACAATGGCACTCCAGGCGACTTTCAACATCCAAATCAGAATCTGCGTCGGTCTATTATCATTGCTCTGTACTTCGCCTTCATCCTGTCCACTGCTGCAGTTGCGTTGCGCTTGGTGGCGAGAAAGATCAATGGGACGAGGCTGTACCTCGATGATTATCTGATTCTCGTGGCCTTGGTGAGATCCTCCGAGTCAGAAAGATTTTCCACCAGGATGCTGATCATCGCAAAGTTATTCAAATATGGATGCTCGATCGGAGTGACCATTCGTGAGTTGTCCACGTTCTTCTGAGAGTTCGTCTACTGACCAAATGCAGTCCTGTTTAATGGCTTAGGGTCACATATAAACATGATTCCCCAGAAGAATCTAGAAGTTTACTTCAAGGTAAGTACGCGATTTTAGGTTTGCCCAAGGACAAGGGCTGACCTGGCCAGATTGGATGGTCCAACTCCTTTGTGTACACTGGATGCATCCTCTTCATCAAACTGTCCATTCTCGCCTTATACAAACGGCTTTTCTCCATTCCTCGTATGATTATCGCCGCCAATGCTATCGCGGCGTTTGTCATCCTCTGGGCTCTAGCTGTATTCATGGTCGGTGCCTTGCTGTGTTTGCCGGTCCAGAAGTTTTGGAACCCTTCGATCGAGGGATCGTGTATTGACTCTGCCAAATTCTACTACGGACAGCAAATTCCGAACATTTTAACAGACTTGATCATTCTCATTATGCCATTGAAGGTTGTATGGGCCCTGCCAATCTCGAAGACGCAGAGATTTCTGCTTTCCGGGGTGTTCATCGTTGGCGGACTGTACGTTGCGTGTCCACCTATATTGTGCCTCGGTCACTAACCACACACCCAGGACACTGATCTTTGATATTGTACGATTGGTCGCTATGATTGAATTCACGAAGGCTGGACCGGATATTACCTGTAAGTGGTAATTTGTGCGCTGTCTTGCTCTTACATTTAACCATTTATCTGCGCAGACAATCAAATCCCTGTCGCCGTCTGGACGTGCATCGAAGCGGCGGTAGGCATCACAGCAGCGTGTCTTCCCAACTTGAGACCCTTATTCAAAGTCGCCCACCGACAATTCTGGGCTAAACTCGGATCGTCGCGGCCCCAGTCCAAAGAGGAGAATTTCAGAAGGTCCCACGGGCTGTCGGAAGCCACTACTCTCTACGCCTATGCCACTCAGACTCAGTACAGTCATCACACTGAATGCACTAAAGCATAGTGTTTACTCCTCCTTTTGTCCTCTTCGTCATTCCCTTGCGGTTTATTTCACTTACCGAGAAAAGCGGTACTCGCCCTTCGTTCACTTCCCCTTCGCTTCATTGATATATACTTTTGCAAATGATCGTGTACAAACTATGCCAGTTTGCTGTCAATTGATAGATGAGTTAATTTCAAGATAGTATACATATAAAAAAAAAGGAATACCCATCAATTCGAAGGATGGGAGTCCAAAGCGATGCAGAGCAATCACCGCAGGATATCCGGCATGCCGATACCAGCTCCGGCCTAACCAGATTCATGCCTAACAAGCAGATGACCCCCGTTGTACTTTTTACATCAAAGGATTGTGCCAATATAGCTCTCTCCAATTTCGTCATATAATGACCTATTCATGAAACATGCATATCAATTCTATCCATGTTTCAAGACCTACGTCATCCCGATGTCACTCCTCCAGCCATTCCTATATATGCCACAACAGCAATTCTCCTTGACCTTCCTCTATCTCCGAACAATACTACAATCAAAGCAACTACACAATCGGATCACCATGACCGGAAAAAAGATCCTCATCGTCCTCAGCGACGCCCACTCCTTTCCCCTAAAGAAAACCTCCGGCTCGGACGCCGGCAAAACAGTCGAACAACCATCCGGCTTCTTCCTCATGGAACTCGCCAAACCTCTACAAAAACTCCTCGACGCCGGCTACGAAGTAACCTTCGCCTCACCCAAGGGCCAGGAACCCGCCCCGGACCCAAACAGCGAATCCCTCCTCGCCTTCGCAGGCAACTTCTACGAACGCCGACGCGAGAACGAGCTCATCGACCGCATGAAGCGGGAGAATGGCTTCAGCCGGCCCCGGCCGCTCGGCTCCATCAGCGACGAGGAGCTGGATTCCTTCGCGGGGGTGTTCATACCCGGGGGACATGCGCCGCTCAAGGATCTGGGTGGCGATAAGGAGGTGGGTCGGGTGCTGCGGCATTTCCACGCGAAGAGGAAGCCTACCGCGGCCATCTGTCATGGCCCGTTTGCGTTTCTGAGTACGAAGCAGGTCGGGGATGGGTCGTTTATATATAAGGGGTATAAGATCACGTGCTGGAGCGATGCGGAGGAGAAGGTCATGGAGACGATGTTCGGTGGGGAGATTGAGAAGGTGGAGTCGGCTCTGCGCAACGAGGGGGCCGAGATGATTGAGGGGGCCAAGGAGAAGGCTGGGAGTATCACTGTTGACCGTGAGTTGGTGACGGGTGCGAATCCGGTGGCGGCGAATGCGTTGGGGGATCAGTTTGTGAAGATGCTGAGTGTTCATTGAGTTTATGTACTTGTATTTCCAGGTCGGCCGAGACTAGACTTTTTCAATTTGATGCTGAAACCGTTCTTTCGATAGCCCCTGGCTTTGAATGTAGCTTGGGAACGGAAATGACATCGGAATGTGGCCATCCCTGTTTCTATTTTTGTTCTCTTTCTTATCTTATCCATATCTTATTATCTATCTTATCGATAAGCCATTTGCGGGCACCAATCACGTTTCTCTTTTGGCTGTGCAATCGGTGATTTCTTTGCAGGACAGAGTCGCTTGTGCACGTCATTTAATTCCTGAATTGGCGTGCGATCTCAAAAAAAGGTCAATAAACATAATGTAAAGACATACTGTCCTGCTTTCGACTGTAAAGGCTCTATATTTCCGTTCAAGGCTGACGAACAGAGCGAATGCGGAAGAATGCAGCCGTCAACAATGTCGCAGATTAGCCGAGATAATGCAGTCAACCACTTCGTTATCGAACTCTTAAAGTACATTTAACCATGGGCTTTCCTGTTGTTGGAGAGTAAAAGAGAGCTTATGCAAGCTGCTATTGGGTTTCCTGAACAGCAACCATATCTGATACCCAAGAGAGTTCAGAATGCATTTCTCGACAAACAGCTTAGTTCTATACATGATCACCTCAGCGTCATGTATAGCAGCGTCCCCTCTGTATATCCAACATTCTCGAAGAAAAGGTCTGAGCACAAGCACATGGAAACCGTCAGCATTCGTAAACCCAAATACCGACAAGGTCACAACACCACATATCCTTGAGCTTACGAAGATCAACAACAAGGGTAACGCCCGCAGCGCAGTCGACCTCAACAGTCAAATTCGGACCGGATCTGCAAACCTAGTCTCCCTGGCTGAAGGAGGCGGTTTCGCGACATCCATCACGATCGGCAATCAGACATTCGAGGTGGTCATCGACACAGGGTCTAGCGATTTATGGGTCGTACGAGACGGTTTCTCATGCGTCAACCCTGAAAGTAGTGCGGAGGTCGCGCAGTCAGCGTGTGCATTCGGGCCGACATACTCACCTGATAGCACATTCCATCAAATCGACGGCGAGTATCTGGATATCAAGTACGCAGACGGGGAGATTCTCTCCGGCGTCATCGGCACCGAGAATGTAACATTAGCCGGCATCACGGTCAACCAGACTATCGGCCTGGTGGATTACGCGGGTTGGTATGGCGATGGTGTCACGTCGGGTTTGATGGGTCTCGCGTACCCTTCTCTGTGGGTTCATCGGTCTTATTGTTGCGATTGTCGACTGACGGCGGGTACAGCGCGAACGCCTACACGATGGATTATAAGCAACCGACCCTCTACAACCCCGTTTTCGCAACCATGTACGAGCATGGCCTCATTGATCCCGTCTTTAGCATGGTTATGAACCGCAATGCATCCAATGCAACGGCAGCCGGTTACCTGACTCTGGGTGGATTGCCGCCCATCGACATCAAGGGGAATTTCAGCACCACGCCTATCCTGATCACGAACATCAAAGGCTATCCGAAGACTTATGATTTCTACACTGTCAATATTGAAGGAGCTATAGTAGGCAACCGGAGCTTACCAGAGGCTGGTGGGAATATTCAATATCTTGTAAGGATGGACCGTTCCTGGACCTGAGCCTGCCTAACAGTCTACAGGTCGACTCAGGCACGACTCTCAACTACTACCCAAACTCTATAGCGGACGCCATCAATGCAGCATTTAGTCCCTCCGCGGTATACGACAACAACGAGGGAGCGTATGTTGTGGATTGTAACGCGAAACCGCCAGTCCATGGTGTCACAATTGGGGGTTCGACATTCTACATCAATCCAATGGATATGATACTACCAGGCGGAACGGATAACAAGGGGAACAAGATCTGCATTAGCGGGATCAATGCTGGAGGAGATGCTGGGCAGGGTATATTTGTCCTGGGAGGCACGTTTTTGAGAAATGTGGTGGCGGTGTTTGACGTTGGGGCTGCAGAGATGCGATTTGCGTTGAATGCCTGATCATTGGGGAGAACCGTATATAGAATTTGTAGATATAGACTGTTCTTAAACTGACTAGTCCATCATATTGTTCGACATGGTCGCATGGTCTGATGATGGTTTCGCCCTCTACCCTCTACCCCTAATTGCTATATCTAACTTGCTCGGCCTGTTCCAGGCCGGAACAGAGATATATGGGCTCTAGTAATCATCCCACATGCTGCACAGTAGCCGAGCCAATCTTAACAGTCTCCCCCGTTGACTCCCTTTGCTTCATCTGTCGCTGCAGTTCCTCATCCTCGTGCTGGATATACTTCAACGGCCGGCCGGTCGAGATCGCATCCGGGTCTCCCGTCACGATCAGCGGTGGATTCGAACGGTAGTATGCGTCGAGGTCCTCGAGCGTTCGGTTCGCTGGAGATTGTCAGCGCTTTCTGATGATTGCCTTCGAATTACACTCACCGGTCTCCGGGTACAGGTAGTAGATAATTGGAAGAGAAACCGCATTGGTGATTGTCCACACGATCCAGAATTTCCACCCGATGTTCTGTATCCCGATAGGTGTGATCTCGACAATGACAAAATTTGTGATCCTGTGGATTGTGAATACCGAGACACACTGATGAAACAGAGGATAGGTGACATACCAGTTCGTCGCCGACGAGACAGCCGCACCCTTTGTCCGCATAGGAAGAGAATTGATCTCCGTCGGATAAAGCCAAGGAACACCCAGCATGCCGATTCCAAACGCAATGTAATACAGAAAGAAAAATGCCACTGAAGCGGTACCATAGCTTGCGTCATTCTCAGCAAATCGGAGGAGGACAGTGATAATCAGGAAACATGCAAACTGGCCAAAGGTCGACATCAGCATAAGGCCCCTTCGACCGAACCGCTCCACCATGACGACTGCCACACAGGCGAACACAAAGTACGATGTCGCGTTGCATGCACTGAGGAGACGTGACATGCTGTTTGACAAGCCGACAGAGTTGATGAGCACCAGAGGTAGGTAGTAGGACATGATATTGATCCCTGTGCATATTAGCCGCCATTCATCTATGTGAGGGGTCCCATACCCTGGAATTGCTGTAGCGCCTGCGTTCCCGCACCAAGAAGCATTCGCCGCAATGTCTTGGTGTCATTTGTCTTTTGGCGGCGGAGTAATAAATTAGTCCAGGATACGGCATTTTCGCGCTCATAGTTGATACTGTATTCGATCTCATTGTACTGGGTGACAATGTACGGATCATCGGCTGGCTTGGCCTCGATGCGGGAGATTACATCGAGGGCTTGCTCATTGTGGCCGTGCGAGAGAAGCCATCTAGAATGCATTAGCCCTGGACCATCCGGGTGAATTCGCAACAACCAACCTCGGAGACTCGGGAAGCCATGGTACAGTCGCGTAGAGGACGAATATGAAGAAAAACTGCAACGCGATGGGCAGTCTCCATGCGAGCGCACCACCTCGGAAAGAAAGCCCGTAATTGATCCAATTGACCAGCGCAAAGCCAGAAACATTGAGTGCCATTTCCAGGATGACCAGTTTTCCTCTCCATTTGACGGTGGCAGTTTCGGTTTGCCATACGGGGGCTGTGGAGGTGTTGATTCCGTTGCCGATACTGCATGCTTTCAGCCGCTGTGCCATTATATGTAGGTCGAATGATGGTCTACTCACCCTAGAATAACTCGACCGACGAACATCTGCGCTAGGCTGTAGGAACTGGCTTGAAGGATGGTGCCCACTGCCATTATGGTTGTTCCCACAAGAATGGACTTCTTCCGACCGAGCCTTTCAGACACGATGAATGCTAAAATCGAGCCGAGAAAGCAGCCGACGTCGTAGATGGCTGTAACAGTCGATAGGGTTTTCGTCTTGGTTGGCCCAACAAGATCATGGACGACTAGAAAGTCCTCTGTGACAACGACTCCGCCTAAGAAGACTTTATTAGCCCATTGGTTTTATGGAATGGATCGTGTACATACTAAACACTCCCTGGTCATAGCCGAACAATGTCATATCGGTAGCACAGGCAATCTGCTGAAATCTTAATATTGCACTAATTGTAAATTCTCCTCGATTACTCACCGTGATCCAGAAGGTGAGCCATCCTCCAGTGAGCCCAAAGTAGGGCGTTTTATGGGGCTTTGGAGTTGACATATTCAATTATACTGCGTTGAGCTGCGCGAGAGTTTACTTAAAACACCTCGATGACCATGTCGGCAGATGGATATGGCACGCTTATATACTACCGCAGCAAGGACAAAGAGCAAGCGATCTGCACATCTGAGACCCACAGTGCAGGTTTCGCGGGGTGAAGTTGGGGTAACATCTTGTGGCAGCATCTTAGCCGAATATGGACATGGAAACAAGGCTGCCCGGCGTATCTGTCGTTCAAGAGGAGTCTTTTAAGACGATTTAGTCTTCCAGTTCCACAGCACGATGCTGTGGGACGATCCCAACTTACAGAAGACTATGATTGACGACGGTGTGTAGACCTATCTCAGGTCCTCCTAGATTGTGAAATGTATTGATTTGTAAGGTGAGCTACTTGCCTCTATCCGGATTGCGTAACAGTCATCTTTACCTGGCTTGTTAAGGTCACACTGCCGGCTCTGGTCAAGCCTTTGATTATGGGTCAACCTGAACCACCGTTTGCCTGCCATACTGCGAGCTAAATCAACATGATCACTCATAGAAAACATCTCTATTCCATGAATAACCAATTTTGTCCTTCGGAATAAGCCCGACGTGCGGAGACCCCAGGATCTCCCTTCTCCAGTTTCCCCGGTCCTGGCGTTACCAGATCCGGTAGTGGAATGACATTCGGAACACACTTTAGCCTAATTTCCATACCAAACGGAGTACTCCAATACTGCATTTACTGTGCCGTCTAGCCGTCCGATAGTATTGACCTGAATCAAGCTTACGATGTTCGTGCTAATCGGAAAAACTCCGATGGTTCGCTGCTTGTGATTCACCAAGATCTCAGACCACCTTATATGTTCCTCTGGACTTATATTCTCAACTGGCTGAATCCCCCGACCATAGAAACATCGATATCAGGGGATACAATCATCGAATAACTTCACTATGCCACATACCAGCCATCTCGCGTGGAAAGAAGCCCGCTCTAAATCCCAAGTTTACTCAAACCTCGACACCATACCATCAAACCTCCCCAACTCCACCCCTAGCACCCACAAAATCCACAACCCCCAGCGCCAAAAACTCCCAGAAACCCTCCACGCTCATGCGCCGCCCGCGCAGGAGGAGATTCGCACCCAAAGCACTGGAAAGAGCCAGTCGAACCGGCACAGAGACATGCAGCCACTGGTTTTCTTCAATGGGCATGTACGAGCTCAGGAAATACGGCAGCATCAGGGCACATGCTGAGACGCCGAAGAGGGCATTGGTGTCTGCGATTCCACGGGTAGAAGGCGCTGATACGAAGGCTTTGCTTCCAGTGACTGGTTTCAAGGGTGAATTGCGAAACAGCGAGACGTAGAGGCCCAGCCCTAAGACGGTGATGCTAGTAAGCAGCACATGGGGTGGAAGGTTGACCGGCCGGAAGTGAACATTGATATTGAGGGTTCATGTCCCGTACAGAGCTATCTATATGTCTCACCAAGATATGACTGACATAACGTGGGTTTCTATTCAAACACGTACCGCGAAGCAAGATTCGTATAGGGGACGAGGCCCTAGGTGGTGATAGTGACGATTCAACATACGGCAAACCCGGCGAAGGAAGTATGCGTACAAGGCGGGATAGTCACATGCTGCGCTGTTTCCGAACCATGATGATATTTCTGCCTTCTCGCAGTAAATAGTTACATATACTTATTCGATCTGCGCAGACGGAAGGCTTCGCTTGTACACTAGACGCCAGGAATGGCCATGTCGCATAGCTCCGCCACGGCGCCAAGACCTTCCCGATTAGGAAACCAGTCTCCCATTGGTTGGACGGTGATATGTGAGGATATTGTCAATTCGAGGCATCAGTGGACTCGGATTTAGATCAAAATCCGCTCGTAGGAACGTCGCTGCGCCCGTAAACGCCGACTACATGAGACCAGACAACTGAGGGGCAGAGGTATAAAACCCCGCCGTGGCCTTGCGCAGAGACAGGAGCAAATAACAACATCATCCTTTCATTCTGACTATCATCACTTGTGTCACAATCCTCAATACCAACGATCTACGCGTCATGGCTTCCGCAGCTCAAACTCAACGCCGCAATCTCCCTCTTCTGGCTACCACCGAGATCTGCTCTGGTCGTACCTACATCGTAACTGGTGCAAACACAGGCCTAGGGTTTGAGGCAGCCAAGCACTTGGTCAGTCTCGAAGCTGCAAAGGTCATCCTTGCTGTACGCAACATCGGCGCCGGTGAGAAGGCCAAGAAGGAAATTGAGGAGTCAACAGGAAAAACTGGTATTGCTGAGGTCTGGTTGCTGGATCTGGCAAATTATGAATCCGTCAAGGCATTTGCACGCAAGGCGACTACTGAGCTCGATAGGATCGATGCGGTGATCGAAAACGCGGCCGTGGCGGTGCCAGAGCGCGTCCTTGCTGAAGGTCACGCTCTGTCTGTCACTGTTAATGTGCTCAGCACGTTCCTTCTTGCTGTGCTTATCTTGCCAAAGATGAGGGAAACTGCGCAGCGATATGGAACCGTACCGCATCTGACCCTCGTGACCAGCCGGGTTGGATTCGATGCCAAAGATTTCTGGGATAAGATCAAGGATGATCCGGTGAAGAAGATGGATGGAGAGGACATTCCACCGCTGCACACGTAAGTTTTCACCAGGCGCCGATACCGTCCTTGAGCTGCTGTTGAAGTCAAGAGATAGGTACCCGCTCTCCAAGGTTCTGACAACCATGGCACTACGCTGTCTTGCCACTCTGATTCCAGTGGATCGAGGTGTAGTGATGAATCTGGTCTGTCCGGGACTCTGCAAGACCGAGCTCAGCCGCAACGCACCAGCACAATTCCGGGAGGACCTCGCCAAGCGCCTCGCAGAATACGGACGGACCGCTGAGGATGGTAGCCGCACCCTTCTTCACGGAGCTGTGGCGGGTAAAGAAAGTCATGGATGCTTGCTTCATTCCTGTGAGATTGGAGAGTAAGTCAAAGTATCCTCCTGTGACCTGGGTAGTGGTGCTGATAGATATGTGCTTTCAGAAACGTGGTGCCAAGTTGGGTGACAGATGAGGAAGGAAAGAAATGGCAAAAGCACAGCTGGGAAATTGTTGCTAAAGAGCTGGACTCCATTGAGCCTGGATGCGTGGGAAAGGTCTTGAATTGACGAACTCACCTGCACAACTGTGATCGCGGCGGCTTCTTCGAGATGTGAAGTTCACTTTTTCACAATTAGTTTGTGCCAGACTGAGGCCGCGTTGGGGCTTGAATAGTAGGTCCTAGTGACGTTGAAGCCGGCTCAGCATATTCTTTATTTGATCTATGCCAGAGGGCTTTTCCAGCTGAATCGTGCACTGTGTTGACCCAAGGGTATTTTTCAAGTATCTCCCGAACGTGTTCCCATGTCCCCAATTTCAGAGTATCCATAGTCTCAATCAACCTCGAAATCCACATAGGATGTGCCCCCAGCTGGGATGATGACGCAGCTCCTATACAGAGCATCCAGAGTAACATTTCCTGAATATCTAGTGCATTTTCCGAAAGATTTTGAGCGGCATTGAGAAGTGAATTTGAGAGAAGAGCATTGTGAGCAATGCGACGGTCGAGTCCCGGCAAGAATGTAACCAAAAATGCAGTGAGGCCTAGATGGATTGTGTTCTCAATTGCGCATTTGGGACGGCACCCACCCAAGGGGTACAGATTCCCCAAACGATACCCCAGGACGAGCAGGTCACTGTGAAAGGTGCAGGAATTCAGCTTGGGTCCGACTCCGTTCGTTGCGTCATTGAGTCTTGAGGCAAGGGATGCCACATTATTGAAGAGGTCCTGAAGATCGTCAGGCAGTTTTCTCGACAAAGGGGACCGACAGGATTTGCTGATACGTGCGCGATCCTGTCGCTTAGGGTCCCCGTAGAGATCGTTCATCATCTCATTTTCCTTGATGGCGTCCTGCAGGCTAAATAGCGTTGATGAACCCAGCTGCAGAGAGTACTCAAGATCAGTACTGCAATGGTCAGCATGGTTTGGAAATATATAGTACTTCCGCTGAAGATTCATACCGCAACATTTTCTGGACAAGTATATGATGGCTCTTCAAAAGCTGCAAGACCCCGCCTTGTAGCTGAGCCATTCTCTGTAAACCTTGAATGTGGACCAATCCTCGTCGATATTGGTCCTGATGTCTCTCGTACTGAGCCATGCTTACTATGACCGCCATGGTCGTATCGCTGATCGCTTCCTGACGGGAAAGTCGTTGATTGATCAAGCGGAATGTGTGGGATATGTGACTCATCGCTTGCAGGATACCCTCTTGCTTGGTGACGAGGTTGTTGAGGCACAGTATTGACGTTGCCACGGTGCAATGAAAGCCTCCGTGGAGCTGTCAGCCTGGTGTATTACCATCTGATGACTCTCAACCAGCTGAACTCACAGGCTTCATCGATAAACATGTACCGCACCCATACTGAGGAAGCGTGACCAGTCAAGTCAAGGGCTTTGTTCAGCTGAGGCGCATGTCGTGTGGCGCATAGGAAGTCAACGACTGCAGGTTTGGAATTAGATCAGCAGCGCAATTTATGCAATATTGAGTGAAGAAGATTACTATATACCTTTCTTCACAAGCGCCCTCGATTCCCCAAACAGTGGCGCTGGAAAAACCAGCCCATCACCTATCGGCCGTTCAATCTGAGAACTTTCTTTCGCCAGGCCGGGTGCCTTTTCTACTATCTTGGGGGGATGAAATGAAGATATAGTGGTCCTTGACGCGTGTTTCCTCGATGGTCGCACGATTGTTTTGCCTTTATTTTCCCCCATGGCCGCATGGCGCCGGATCTGCTTTCGAGTGGCTGGATCGATGCTGAGTTTGTTGTCGATAAACTCAAAGGACATTCTGACCTCGTAGGATATGGTATAGGGATACAGCGTGCTTTAAGCAATGAAGAAGGAGTAGTGAAAGATCGTATGAGGATTTGGTGATTTCCTGTCGAGGTGAGATTGAGCTGTCGGACTTAACGGAGCTAATCGGCCAGAGGGGAGTGCTCTTGTCACCTTTAAAGCCAACGATGCTTACACACGACTCGCGAAAATCATTTGTTTTCATCCAGAAAGTAAGAAGATCTGTCTTAAATTGACGAGTGGCTCAGAAGCAACTGGAGTGAGTAGGATTTCTGGACCTGGGAGTGGACTCCGCCATCTAAAGCTCGTGGCTTGCTTGTTCGGTTGAGCGCTGGGTAGCCTCTGCGACATGGCGACATCTTAGCAGTTATCAAGTCTTCAGTTCGCTTTGAATTTATCTATTCCTTTCTTCAAGGGTAGACTGACTCGTTGTCATGCCAGAATGCGCTGGCACTACGAAGGTTCCATCGTCAGGTTGGGCGATTGGATCTCGTATACCCTGTTTCTAATGCAACCCCATTCTGACCCTATGACTCATGCAGCGTATAAGCCATACTCACCTGCTCACCAGGCGATGCAAAACTTCTGTTATTTGAAGCTCACTGCAAACATGAGTAACATCGCGCTTGTTCCCCGGGAGTTTCCCACCGAGAAAGAACTGGACAAAATCGTCGACCGGTACAGACATCTCCGCTTAGCAGGCCTCAAACAAGACCCAAAGGCCTTTACAGCCAATTACGAGACTGAAGCGCAGTTCCCGTACGAAAAGTGGTTGTCCCGGATTCAGAACCCAAAGGCACGAACTTTCATCGCTTTGGACCAGGGTGAGAGGGTGAATTCGTCGCACGATGCGTTGACGGCCCTTTTGTCGAGGGAATGGCTGGGGACTGTGACCATTGGAGGACCGAAATTCGTGTCTAGCAGCGAAATTGATATCGAAGCGCCGTGGAAGGTATTTACGGAAAGCGATCGGTATGCGGCACCACCAGTGGATGATAGAGACGCCGTCGCGGTGTATATGATTGCTGGCATGTTTGTGCTTCCAGCGTCGAGAGGGAGGGGGAATGGTCGTCGACTTGTTGAGGAAACTGTCAAATATACTCGGGGTGCTTCTCCTGCTACAGAGCGAACTCTACTGGTCCTACTGGTCGAAGCAGAAAATGAAGCTGCAAGGAAACTCTACGAAAGATGCGGGTTTCGGAAGTGCAGCGAGAGAGTGGAATTGAGTGATCATCAGACGGTTGGGATGATTCTAGAACTCGAGCATAATACAACCCAGTCAATTGTAGATGTAAAATGCATTGCGATGCTTTTAAGTTGCAATTCGATGGCCAATTTGTGTTCTGTCGGAAATGCTCCTGCCTGATATTTGGACAGAATCGTGATTCAGAGCTTCATAGTTTTGCCATGCATCTTCAGTGATAATTTTTGAACAATGGTAAATTCATTCTTGTTTTCTTTATGTTTCCATTGTCTACCTGTTCTACCTAAACTCCGGTCATCATCGGGTTACGTCTCCACTGTAGGTCCTGGGGGTTATTGCGGTTGCCTGCCAGCTGCCCCCTCCTTTAGTTTTCTTTATCTTTGTCTCACTGGCCTCATGACATCCACTTCTTTCCGACTCTCAGTACCTATTGACTTCTTTGCATTCCATCGACAGCAAAGATGGTCTCGGAGGACTCAGAAACCCCTTTCTGGGGTCCAAGTACTGCAAATTCCAAGTCAGTACCTAGCCCCGTGTGCGGACAGCTTTCTTGCAAGTATTGTTAGCTAATTAACTGCTCAAAGCTTTTGCGAGGAGGTAGCTATGAATGATCGTACATTTTATTCTATTTCACCCAGCTGATTATTTGCTTGATCTGGTGTAGGACTACATGGTAACTAGATACGTTGCGGAATTCATCAATAGTTTGACCAATGTGGTATACAGTAAGCGATGTCTTCTGTTTTGGTTAAGACAACAATCCTCCTAAAAGAAGATTCAGTAATCTACGCCTTCTATGGACTCTACCAGCTGCGGCAGAAACCAAATGCTGGTTTCCTTCGCACCGTCCCCTACTGGGGGTTAATGGCAGTGGGAGTTTGCTCCGCTGTATACCACGTCAGCCTCAAGTACCACACCCAGATGTGTAGGTTTCCATTATCATTTCCTTACTTTACCACTGATGGCTTCCTGGCTTACACTATCCACCAGGGGACGACCTCTCCATGCTCTTCACCACAACCCCCGTTCTTCACCGGGTCATGACCGCCGATGCCAACCCCAGGGTCGGGATTGTAACGGGCATAGTCCTGGGGTCAAGCCTTCTCGCCCTAATAATTTACCATGTAAAGACGGATGAGTTACTCCTGCACGCTGTGTTCTTTGTTGGCTCCGTAACCACCATCGGAATTTATACCATGCGATTGATCAACGCTCGCACACTGGCGGGCTCAGAGGCTCGGAGGCAGATCTGGGGCATGGTACGGTTCGGCGCTGGTAATATAGGTCACCTTACTCCAAATTGGCGACTTTACTAACTTCATCGTCAAGTCATATTCAATCTGGGGTACTGGCTCTGGCTGGTTGATGGGTGGGTGTGCTCGTACCTGAAAAGCATGCGGGAGACGGTGGGTCTACCCTGGGCTTTTCTGTTGGAGCTGCATGGATGGTATGTACTAGTATTCTTACTATTTTTGTCCTCTTTTCTTTTCCTGGACGATAAGACTGATTCCGGAATCGGCAGGTGGCACATCTGCACGGGAATTGGCGCCTATATCTTCATCGCGGTCATCGATCATCTTGTATCCGGAGAGGATCACAGAAATATCCCCGGATCCCTGGCCTGGCCTGCTCCGTGGGCTGCTCAATCTGTGTTCGCGGGAAGAGGGTCTGACGAGAAACAAGAGTGAGCATATAACTATAGAACACTGGCCGTGGCGAGCTTAGGGCATTTTTCACTGTCTCTTCTTCGCTTTTCCATCCCGAGCATCTATCTATCCTTTCGCCCAGCTCCTATCAATCATCGAGCGTATAAATACCCGAATTCTTTTTTTTTTTTTTTTTCTTTTTTATTTCAGGGACATATACCCCGAGAAAGTATCGAGTCAACTACTGCTGAGAACTCACCCCCAATTTAGCCTGCAGTCCATGTCCTTGATGAGCCCGCCGTGTTGATTAATGCTGCACTCCTTCGGGAGTGTCATAATCTTTAGCGGCAGGTGTACGTGGCATGAAAGTGGCCAACAAGGCGACAGAAAAAGACCTGTTGTTGGATTATCCACAGTTATTAAACATGCATCAACTCTTAACAGCAATCAAGCCATGGCATTATCTGCTAGTCTAATAACCTGTGCTACCAATCGAATCTCATAGCGCCTAGCTTATGGTGAGGGGAGTGAGACCAACTATATCAGAATGCCCAATCAAGTTCCCCCATGGAAGGGCGCACTCCAGGCGCCTTGGCTGAGGCTGAGATTGACCAATATCACAGTGACATATTTATTGAGCTTAACTGATCTGGTCTTAAGTGATTGTAAGCTTACTCGCCACTTGTCGAGTGATCTGAGCCATGGACTTGCAATTCCCAATGGACCAATTTTCATCCACGAAGAGAACCATGATCTCCATCGGCACCCATCGCCTCTACCTCTCCATCAACGGTCCACCCCGCCGCGACCCCCCAGATCCTATCGTAGTGTTCATTGCCGGCGCCGGCGACGTCGCATCGTCTTACTGCGCCGTCCAACGGCTTGTCGCGTCCTTCTCCCCGCTTCTTCTTTACGACCGCTCCGGTCTCGGTCGCAGCGAAAGCAATCCAACCGCTCCAATCCCAACGGCGACGTCAGCAGCCAAAGAGTTACACACCCTTCTCACCACCGCAAATATCCCTCCACCACTTATCCTGGCCGCTCACTCCTATGGCGGGATCATCGCCCGAGAATATCTCCATCTCTACTCGAGCGATGTCACGGGAATGGTCCTCATGGACGCATCAACCGAACGGAACCTCGAGTTATTCCAGAACCCGGATTTAGACCTTAATGCTATGGTAGGCGACATGAAGTTTGCTGAGGTCACGGGGCTGCGTGCTGCCGCTCAGCTCTCGCGGGAAGAATGGAGGGTGAGAGCGATGGACATTGCGCGGGGAATGGCTACTTCGCAGGCTGAGGCGATGGCGCGGGAGGAGGTTTGCCAGGCGCTTCGTGAGAAGGAGCAGTTCAAGAAGCAGGCGCTGGGGGGTCGGCCTTTAAGCGTGATTCGGTGTAATGGGTTGATGGAATACAGGAGAATCTATGAGAAGGGTGTCGAGGCTGGGAATGGGACAGAGGCTCAGCGAGCGGCATTCCGTGAGCTACTGGAGAAGTGGGACGGGATGGATCGTGAGATGCAGGAGGAGCAGTTGGAACTGTCTAGACGGAGTAGGATGGTTCATTTGCCGGACTGTGGGCATAATGTGCATTTGATCCGACCCGAGGCTGTTGCAGAGGAGATTCGATGGGTAAGGGAGCAGATCTTAGGTCAGAAGATAGACTCTGCTCTTTGATCTGAATCATTGCCTGCAAGAATCGCACTCACTTTGACTGATATGTGCCATAACTTATTGCCTTAAACAGCGTCCGACCCAACTGACAATGCGCGGCCCAACCTCATCCCCCTGCAGCCCTATCGACAAACAGTAACTAATATGGTTATGGCCAGTCAATACCTCAAACCTAGGTCGCCGGTTCATCTTGCTCTCAAAAGCCTCCAAGAACTTCATATTTCCCTTTACACACTCTTCAAAGTCCCACTCCCCAACCGTCACAAACAACTCCGGCAACGGCGTATCCTCGTTGACCTTCCCCTCAAACATTCCAAGTGCAGAGTGCGCCTGGATCTTGTCCGTGTCGTTCGTCCCACAGTACTCTTCCATACTTTCCCGCCTTCTGTCAAGTGAAAGATCATACCACAACGCCGCGCTTTGGAGAAGGATCCCCCGAGGCATTGCACCCTCCTCCCGCAAGCGTCCAGAAAACAGCGCCATACCCACATGGGCCCCGCCAGCGCTCTGGCCAATGGCGAAAATGCTCTCCTTATCACCATGGTAACATCCAATATTCCCCTTGATCCATTTCAAGGCGGATACAATATCCTCCCGCCCGTCCGGGAATCGAGCTTCGGGTAGGAGACGGTATGTCCCGAGGATCCCAATCATGTTGCTGGATGCGAAGAATTTGGCTGTCCACACTGATCAGCTGCGCTCTAGCCACAGCGTGCGTGGGAAGTGATGTACCAATATTAGCATGCATATGAGGCGTGATATCATTGTCTCCGGCTCGAAACGCGCCGCCGTGGAAGTACACAACGACGGGTAGCTGTGCATCTCCTTGGTGATCGAGCGGGCAGTAGATCTATCTTCGTCAGCGAGGTTCAATTGTGAAAGATGCAATGTTCCAACAGACGTCAAGTCGATGTCTCTCGTGCTCCCCGTACTTCACGCGGTTCTCACGGTACCGAGGTTCATCCGGGTCTGGCAACGCGGCATGACACGATTCGAAGAATGCCTCGAAGTCCGAGTTTATGGCTGGATTCCAATTGTTGCCGTACCCGGAGATGAATGTCTGAATGTCGCGAGCCAGTGGCATGATGAGATGTCAGTGTGTTGATGTTTGAACCAGAAGAAGCATCTGGTGTCAAAGGGGCACAGCTTTTCTGGAACAAGGGCGTGGGGATGCGGGGAAGGAACAGAACCCTAAGTTTTGGACTTTTGGCTAGAAAACACCACAGTCAAGCTCATTTTCCAGCAGACAATCAGACTTGAAATCTCATGTTCGACAGGATTCACAGGAAACAATAATTAAGAAGAGTAGTGCATAATTAGTGTGATATTACTGAGCTTTTCAAGTCTTACAGCTCATAAATAGACTATTGAGATTGCTTAAGATTAGGATTAAGGGAAAAACCTAGTGAATGCATGAATAGGTTATTAAGAGCAACAAAAATTGCTTCTACTCTTCTGCTCCATAAGATAATGAGATATAATACCTCTGTATCTATGACTTTCAAATCTTAATAATGCATAAACTAATTCTGAATTATTATTAGCACCCCCTAAATAAAATAGAATTAAGCTTTAGACCTTTCAAAATAAGGTTAGGGCAGACCTGAATGACAAAGTACGGAGTAGGATCATCATATTTAATTTCTGTCAGAAAGCTAGCCGGATACGCCATTACCGCGTCCGCGAGATGCCGAGTTCAGCGAACTGACATGTGCGAGGAGGTGGGGGTGGAATTGGTCTATCTGCCGCCCTATTCGCTGGACCTGAACCCAATTGAAGAGTTTTTCGCCGAGCTCAAACCCCTTATCAAATGTAGTTGGTGCAAAGGAAGAGACGGCCAGAGCTTTCTGCAAGATATTAGCCTCTTCAACTGAGTGATTCTGGCGAGACCCGTGGTCAGGTGCCCAGGTGAAAAGAGCGGTGTGGTTGTCACATGATGTAATAGGATTTCTTGCCCCTTGGCTGCATGGTGCTATCAGCTCTGCTCCACCATCGATAAATGTCAAGTTGGGGGTGGCTTCTGGGCCTTGGGGAGTTGGGGTACCACCGTCCGCCGTACCAGAAAGCATTGGAATCAGGGGAAGATGAAAACGGGCCATGAAAAGAATGAAAGGGAACTTGATTAAAACTAGACGACTGATACCATGGACGGCGACTGATAGCGGCCACCGAAAAATGCTTATCACAATTTGTCGTGGGGTCACCCACTCACCCTACGCTCAGTCAGCACGCGGTGGCAAGCCTAGGTACCTTAGGCTTCCCGGATCTGGAATCCAACCATCTCTTTCCAGCCAGCGGCTACCCATATCTACGGAGTACGTACGTCATAATTTATTTCCAAAGTGGTAGAAAATTTAGATATCTGAGTTGCCACCTTATTCATCTATTCTACCCCTAAACACTAATTAAGGTAGTGATGGATGCGACGCAGGAACAGGAGTAGCTTAGGAGATGAGATATCCAGGTGAGGGTAGCAGGCAGCCCTGTAAATAGGGGCGCTGTGACACATTATTTAAGGGTCATATGTGAGGGACTGAGGGCAGCCCTAAATAGCAGAATTCTAGATGCTGCCGAGACAGAGCTCTAGGGCCTTAGAAAGGTGGCAAAGAAATCGAGGCCTGAACGAAGAGGCGTAGAGGCTAAACTTGAAAAGGAATTTCGCAAATTTTCTGACCGATTTTTCAGCATTCTCCACTGTTAATGCCCCTATGATAACTTGATAAGAGTCGATTGAGCGATTACTAAGATTATTCATCATTCTCCACCGCTGTTCCCATATATAACAGATGACGCCCCCTTAGTTACTACTCAGTTACTCGACTTGTCCGATCACAATGGCACCCCTCAAGCTCAACAGCAAGAACCTGTCGCAAATTTCGGCGGCAGGCGAGGCGCAGGTCAAGGTCCCAACCTACCAGCGCGATGGCGCCGTCAAGGAGGGCATCGTCCACGTCGGCGTCGGTGGCTTCCACCGGGCTCACCTGGCCGTCTATGTCGACCAGTTGATGCAGAAGCATCATGTTACTGACTACGCAATTTGCGGTGTTGGCTTGCAGCCCTTCGACGCCGCCATGCGCGACGTCTTGGCATCACAGGACCACCTCTATACCGTCATCGAGCGTTCGGCCAAGGGCAGCTTTGCCCACGTTGTTGGCAGCATCAACTCCTACCTCTTTGCCCCTGATGATCGCGAGGCCGTCATTGCCAAGATGGCGCACCCTGATACACACATTGTGTCGCTCACCATCACCGAGAGCGGTTACTACTACAACGAGAACACACACGAGCTGCAAAGTGAGCACCCCGACATTCAGTTCGACCTCGACCCGGCCAACGAGAAGGCACCGCGCACCACTTTCGGCTTCCTCTACGCCGCCCTGGCACGGCGCCACCAGCAAGGACTCAAGCCCTTCACTGTCATGTCGTGCGACAACATGCAGAAGAACGGCTCCATTACGCGGCACATGCTCGAATCATTCGCGCGCCTGCGCAACCCCGAGGTGGCGAAGTGGATTGCCGAGCAAGGCGCCTTCCCCAACGCCATGGTCGACCGCATCACACCTCAGACATCCGCCGCCGACAAGACGGCCCTGGCAGACAACTTTGGCATCGAGGACGCATGGCCAGTCGTCACGGAGCCCTTCATGCAGTGGGTTATCGAGGACCAGTTCTCCGACGGCCGCCCACCATTTGAGAAGGTCGGTGTCCAGGTTGTCAAGGATGTCCACGCCGTTGAGCAGTTCGAGAAGCACAAGCTCCGCCTGCTCAACGGCAGCCACTCGGCCCTGGGCTACCCAGGTCAGCTGGCAGGCTTCAAATACGTCCACGAGGTCATGGAGAACCCGCTGTTCCGCAAGTTCGTGTGGCAGATGATGCAGGAGGAGGTGAAGCCGCTCTTGCCCGAGATTCCGGGCGTCGACATTGACGAGTATTGCAACACGCTCATCGAGCGCTTCTCCAACCCAACAATCATGGACCAGCTGCCCCGCATCTGCCTCAACGCTTCCGGCAAGATTCCACAGTTCATCATGCCGTCGATCGCCGAAGCGATTTGGGTGACCGGCCCGTTCCGCCGCCTGTGCTTCGTCGCGGCCGCCTGGTTCCGTTACGTCAACGGCGTCGACGACAGCGGCAAGACGTTCGAGGTCGCCGACCCGATGCGCGAGGAGCTCCAGGCCAAGGCTCGCGCAGGAGGCACCAACCCGGCCGAGCTGCTCAGCATCAAAAACCTGTTCGGTGACGACTTGCGCAGCGACAAGAGGTTCCTCCAGGAGATCACCAGAGCTATGAATGACATTGCCCGGGACGGCATCATGAAGACGCTTCCCAAGTACATTGACTGATCGCCGCGACTACGATTGGCTTGGCGAAAAAGGTACACCTGCGTCTGCGAGCGATTTTTACATTTATTTTGCATGCGTCATGAGCGAGTGATTTCACTAGAAAAGCACATAGAGATAGATGATGATAGACCAAAATCCCTAATTCTTACTTCATTGCATGTCCTCACATTCAGGCGGGTCTGGAGAATCTTGGCAGAATCCGTTCTTTGATGAATTCGGCCTTGGGTTGGGGAACTTGGGGGGCAACATACATGACCAATCATCTTATGAGCTTTTATCACAATGTCTGGGGTGGGGTTGCACCTGTAAATACATGCTGACTAAGAGAGATATCCTGTTGGATAACGTAATCCACAAGCGAGCGGGCCACCCAAGCGAGCGGGCCACCTCACGCGTTTCAGACGCGGTCACAATACTCAACCAATTCAAACCACCACCATGTCTCCAAAACAACATCAAAAATCAAAAAATTCA